GTTCAAGGTCGCTGTTGGTGATGGAGCCAGAGAGGTTTGCGGCCGAGACTAGGTCGCGTTGGATGTCGTCCGGGAAAGGCTCTCTCCATAGGTATCCTTGACCCGTGGAGTCGAAGTAGACACCACCCATACCGGCCTTGGCGGCGTCAGTGGCCCCGAAGTAGGAGGGGTCCTGAGGCACGATCTCAGCGAGGTGTGTGGGTCGGTGGCAGAGGCTGGCTGCCAGATTGGCGAAGGCGTCGATGTGATGACGGAGAGCGGCGGTGATCCGGATGCGGTTTCCCTTCGCCTTGGTGAGGGCGAGTTGGAGTGCGCTGAACAGCCCAGCGGAACCCCGTATAGCGACAGAGACGAAGCGGAGTTTTCCGAGGATTTGCATCCAGCGTTTGTTGCTGACGCGCTTGCAGGCGGCTAGCTCTTGGAAGATAGCCGCGAGAGCCTCCTTGCGATGGGGAGGTAGTTCGAGTGTCTGTCGTAGAGTGTCAATGATCCAGCCGAGGATGAGTTTTCGGGTGGCCCAGCTGCCGTCGCCTTTTAGTAGTTTCTTCAAGGAGACGGCTTCGTTGCGATGCTTTTCGTCCAGGTTTGGGCGTGCAAGGATCTCGTCGATAGCGTGGAGAAGGTGACGACGAAGTACGTTCATGCGGTTCTTGCCTCCTTGCCCGAGTTGAATGAAGTCGTCAACGAAGACATCATTGCGGCCTAGGGGACGGTTTGGAGACTGCCGCGATGTCGTCGTCGGCGGTGGACTCGAGGGGTTCCGTGCGATGTTCAGGAGGGCCGAGTGGCGGACTCGTCTTCGGCGCCGCGGGGCCGTGGAGCATGGAGGGGTCAGGTCGTCTGGCGAGAGGCCGGTTCTTCGAGCGGTGCGGGGACAGGCACGCGGTGAGTGCGAGAAGCGCGAGTTACGCGGTCGCAGGCAGTTTCGGACATTCGCTGAATGAGAGAGAGGGGATTGGACCACCCATGGTGGAAGACATTGGGATGCTACCAGTTGGGGTTCTCTTCGTATTTGGGAGGACAGCGTGAGACGGATGCAGCTGAGGCGTTCGGGAACATCGGTAGAAGCCATCCTTGATGTCGTGTTGCAGAGGCGAACGGGACAAACTTGGGGTTGCGTGGCGGACATCGTAACAGAGATCGGGGAAGGGCGCCTCGAATTGCATGGCTTCGGGGGAGCATGATGAACAGTGGTTTGGTTCACCGAGGCCATCCCCAGTCCAGGAGGATCGCTGATGAGACGGGGTTTGCGGTCCGTTCTTCTTTGACAGCCGGGGCGGTAGCAGCAAGGAGGTTCGTCTTTGACAAGGTCGTAGGGTAGGACTACCCAGAACTTGTTGGTGATGAATTCGGAGAATTCCTCTCGGAGGAAGGCGGGGTGCTCGGTGGCAGACTTGTGGCATCCACGGCGGATGCATTCCTCCTTCTGCTCGGCGTCCAAGGAGGGGATTGTTGTTGACGGGAACCCATGGTCACGCCATTCGGTGAGCAAGGGTATGTGCTGGATGATCGATTGTTCCAGTTCGGGGGAGAGGTAGGATCTACCTCGGAAGTTTGTGACAAAGATTCCCAGGACTCGGCTTGTGGAGTAGTCGCGGCATAATTTGGTAACTAACGTACCTAGACGATCATTTCGAACAGATCTGGTGTCAACGGGAGTACTAGTAGTTCGGTGTGTCGTGGAGGCAGAGACTTTGAGGTGAGGGACGTTTGCAGGAGGTGCGGTTGTCGAAGAGTGAAGAGCGCTTAGTAGGTGAAGGAGTGAGTTGTTGTTGGTGTGGAAGTGTATGAAGGTGTGTCGGCACGTGTTTATGTTTGAGGGCAGGAGTGCTCCGAATCGGGTTTTTTTCTACCGACGGAGGGACATCAAGTTACTAGGTAGGGGCGAGCAAACCTGTCTTCGAGGTACATGGGCGACGGTGAACGGTTGGGTCGTACCAAAAACGCGCTACCGTGGTCCCGGGGCATGCGTTGGAGACTCACGCTTGTGCATCTGGCACAACTCGCAGAGTGGTCAGAGGTTCGTGAGTTGTTGTTTGTCGCAGTTGGGTATGCGTTTGTGAGTAGCAGCTCGCTTTGCAGGAGAGATGCCAGTTTCCTCAAGGGCCCAGGCAGACAGACATCCTGGACCGCGTGCTGGGGATGGTGTAATAGTCATGTCCCCGGGTCATCTCCCCAATGGAGCGATGACCAGCGTGACTGGAATCGTTTGAGAAGGTCGTTGTCCCACGTGAGCGTTGGTGACGCCGTGGGCTCCGGCCTTCTGTTTGATATTTCCGGCAGGTTTGTTCAATAGTCAGGGGTGGAGCGATAGGTTTTATGAGGGAGTACCAGTAGGACGGTGAGAGTGGCTAGGACTGAGTGCCCGATGAGATTGTACGTGCCCAAGAGTGTCTTGAAGTATTGGAGGCACAGGCGTACGGTCGTTTACAGCCAGCTTGACCCAGGCCAAGTAGTCCTGTTGTATGTCATAGAGGACGGGGCCAATGTGTCCATACCTAGACTGGGTTTGTCGGCGTGTTTCGGGCAATGGTGTATAGGCTGGGACCAGTCTTCGGACTACGCTCCGAAGTTCACGAAGATCGCGTGCTAACACCAATGAAAGACATCCAACTAGATTGAGAAGCCGTAGAGTTTTCTTCGGCGGTACGAGATCTACTGGAAACTTCACATCCGTCGTGGAGAGAGTGTTGCGTCCTGCAGAGTGATGGAGTGTCCTCGCTCGACGAGGTTGCCTTGGAGGCTAAGTCCATAACAGGCTTGGACTCTTCGTGTCCATGACATATGACAGAGAAAGAAGAGATGACCACCCCGAGACCTGTCCGAGGAAGAATATCTCGTACTTCACGAAAGACCTTGTCAGGATGTGCCGTGGCCAAGGTTTTTTTTCTTGTTCGATCCAAGCGGGGAAGCACTGATGTGTATGTCCAGGTGACATTGAAGGGTGCTGTAGTCGCTACCCTTCGAACAATCGCCAGGAGACGATGGATCTCAGGTAGGTCGTCGTCGGGCGACGTTGCAGATGTTGTGGATGCGAGTGGCAAGATTTACTCCGTATTTGGACGTGAAGGTTTTGGTTCCTCGAGTGCGCTCGAAGTTCAGTTGTTGTGTCACGGTTCACGGTTGACGCTGTTGAGTGTGTCTTGGATGCCGGCCACTCCCGCGTTGAAAGTGTCGTTTGTTATAGTCCAGGTCCGGTGGCGCCTAGGGCAGTGAGCAACGGAGCGTTTGACTGAGTTTAGGATCGTTGGAGAGCCATGACGTTGACAGGGAGACCAGAGTATTCCCCAGTGATGCGTAGGAGAGAGACGCGCCAGCATCAGCGGGTGCAAACAGCGACGAAACCATTGGACGAGAGGGATATGGCATTTGACGGGCGAGGTCGGCGTGAGTGATACTCGGGAGTAGGATGAGGTTTCGGAACATGGTGATGGAGTAGCGACGGTAGGGACTTGAGTAAGGGACGCGAGGTAAGGTAGTGAGGAAGGGGCATGACGACGGGATCGGTAGGTGTCAAAGTCGCTTCGCTGGTCATGGGGACGGAGTGAAGGGTAGGAGGGTCGTCTCCTAACATGTCGGACCATCCAAATGGGCCATGTCTTGCAGCGTGTTCGGTGACACGTTGGAAACTGGTGTTTGGAGTATCACGGGAGCGACCGGTGAAGGTCGTTTCCGGTGAGCAAAACAGCGAGGTTGTCGTAAGGAGAGAGCGCGTTCGAAGTCAGCGGGGTATGTGAACAAGGAATGCCCGACATGGATGTAGTCTTCACACCGGTGAGAACGAAGGCGACGAGAAGAGAGACCGCGTGACGCAGAGCACAAGGTAGTTTGAGTACGTTACTGTTCGTGTCAACGTTACCCGACACGGGTCAGAAGAGCGGAATAGTCAAACTCGGGTGCGTCCAGTGATTTCCGCGGTCACAGAGTAAGAATAAAGCGGTGGCCATGGTAGGAAGTATTTCGAAAAGATTTAGACCCTGATGCCGACGAAGAGGTTAATCTATTCTAGTTTTGCTTGCAGCTCGGTGAAGGAAGAATATGTGAGCAGAGAAGGAGACAAACCTTCTTGGATCGACTTTTCAATGGCTGAAAGAGAGAGTTGGACGGTCTGCATGTTGTGTTCATTCAAGGTTGCAATCTGTGAGCGGTTTCGAGGGGTGCTATTGCTTAGAGCGATCTTGCGAAGGAGGCAGACATAGCGACATGATGTGGGGTATCCATTTCAGGAAGCAGGTGATGACCTGGGAGATGTAGTAGATGTACTTGATGTGTAGGAGCGAAGTGTGGGAATCGATTTCGTGTTTTGTGAGATGGTACAGTTTGGCAACTGTGAGTCGAGTCATTCGTCGAAGAACCCATGAGGGTTCAGGTTTCCACGCCAGGCAGCGTGGACGTATAGGGATCAGGATCGTTGTCCTCTTTTGCGTGCGGCTGCTCGACAAGAAAGCAGAATACAGGAAAGCAGAATACCTCACATAGAACAAGAACTATATATTTTAAGCCAGCGGAGCTGTGGAACCTCGCAGAAAGGTTTCAGTGTAGAAGCAGATACCCCTATTAGCTAGCTGGCTAGAAGCAGATACCTCTAGTGCTTAGCTAGTGCATAACTTGCGCTTAGCTAGCTAGAAAGCAGACACCATAGAGTAGCTAGCTAGAAGCAGATTCCCATAGCTAGAAGCAGATTCCCATAGCAAGCTAGAATCAGATACCCCTAGCTAGCTAGAATACTAGATATAGCTTTCGCTGGTCCTGCTTGAAGCAGACCCCTAGGATGCATGTAAATAGCTTTAGCTGGTTTAAAAGCAGCACTCGAAGATACTTATTTAGTTTTTGGTGACTTAAAAGTATTTTAACGCTACCCTTATACCTGCAGGGACCACCTTAGGCAGGAAACAGAATTAAAGGGATTGAGGGCTCTGGCAGCAAGACTGCCGAGGTCAACATGTACCTAAACCTTGCTCTTACATGGTGAGCATGGTGGCCATGTTGGTGGCTTCAACTTAACAAAAACTGGAACAGAGTGGGCTCCACGTACTGGTACTGAGTGAAAAGACGGGATCCGATGGATATTGGCAGCCAGAAAAGTAAAACATGTCTACTGTGGCAGCACTACTTTGTATTTTGCTTGACCAAGCACAAAGATTTTGGTCAAAATCAAATGCATAATAAAACATTCCATTCATGTTGGTAACACTGCTCACATCCCTGGTGTGTCAGTGAAGCGTAAAAATGATTAGGAAACCACAATTTTCAATCTATTGCCCTGACGCATAATCCAACTTACCAACTTGACAAATCTTGATTAAAAATTGGTACATCAAACAACATCACACCCGCAAACATATACGACATGTCGGTAACACGGCTCACATCCCTGGTGTGTCATTGAAGCAAAACCGATTAGACAACCACAATTTCCAATATATTGCCATGGCTGAGAATCTGACGTACCAGTTTGACAAGGCTTGGTCAAAAGCATATGCATCTGCAAACATTCCTGCCATGTTGGTGACCTGCCCTGTTTGCCATCCTGAAATGTCATCATTAAAGGTTTCAAGCCACGAAAACAAGTCGGAGAAATCAGTCACCCGGGAGACGTCCCAACTTCCAATGGGGCCATAGATTGATGATCCTGTGCTTGACCAAGTGGCAATTGCTGTTTCCAGATCTGACTTGGTGTTGATGATTGGAAGGTACGTAGGCAGTTGAGTTGGAATCCACGTAGGCGATTGAGTTGGACTCCACGTAGGCGATTCTGGCAGTTGAGTTGGAATCCACGTAGGCGATTGAGTTGGACTCCACGTAGGCGATTCTGATAGTGTTGGACTCCACGTAGGCGATTCTGGTAGTGCGCTTGTTGGAGTTTCGGTTGGAAGCATCAAAGGCGGTGCTGTCGGTGGATTTGTTGGAGGATTGATTGTAGGTGGTTGGGTCGGAGGCATCGAAGGGGTTTCTGTTGGTGTGGTGGTTGGGACAGCACTAGGAACAGAACTGGGGGAAAAACTTGGGATGTTGCTTGGTCTGGAACTGGGAGTGCCACTTGGAACCATGCTTGGAACAATGCTTGGAGATGCACTTGGGTTTGAACTAGGGGGATTACTTGGGGTGGAGCTTAGATCAATGCTCGGACTCTGGCTTTTGCTGGGGCTAAAGCTCGGTAGATCACTTGGTTTTAGACTTGCTGTGGGTGGTTCACTTGGAGTTGAGCTGGGAAAACGGCTTGGCAGCTGGCTCATGCTGGGGTTGAAGCTTGGCAATCTACTAGGACTGGAACTTAAGGAAGGAGGTTTACTTGGGATTGAGCTGGGAGCGCCACTCGGGTTGGAGCTGGGATCAAGGCTCGGACTCTGGCTTCTGCTGGGGCCAGAGCTGGGTATGCCACTGGGCACAAGACTCAATGTAGGATTGCTGCTTGGGATAGCACTGGGAAAGCTGCTAGGGCTGCACTGGGGAACTGCTTGGCAGCTGACTCGACTGGGGTTGAAGCTTGGGATCTACTGGGACTGGAACTGACAGATGGGGAATCGCTTGGATAGAGCTGGGAGCGCCACTCGGGTTGGAGCTGGGATCAAGTCGGATTCTGGCTTCTGCTGGGCCAGAGCTGGGTATGCATGGGCACAAGACTCAATGTAGGATTGCTGCTTGGGATAGCACTGGAAAGCTGCTAGGGCTGCACTGGGGGAACTGCTTGGCAGCTGACTCGACTGGGTTGAAGCTTGGGATCTACTGGACTGGAACTGACAGATGGGAATCGCTTGGGATAGAGCGGGAGCGCCACTCGGGTTGGAGCTGGGATCAATGGTCGGATCTGGCTTCTGCTGGGGCCAGAGCTGGGTATGCCACTGGGCACAAGATCAATGTAGGATTGCTGCTTGGGATAGCACTGGAAAGCTGCTAGGGCTGCACGGGGGAACTGCTGGAGACTGACACTGGGGTTGAAGCTTGGCATTACTGGGACTGGAACTGACGAGAGGGGAATCGCTTGGGATAGAGCTGGGAGCGCCACTCGGGTGGAGCTGGGATCAATGGTCGGATCTGGCTTCTGCTGGGGCCAGAGCTGGGTATGCACTGGGCACAAGACTCAATGTAGGATTGCTGCTTGGGATAGCACTGGGAAAGCTGCTAGGGCTGCACTGGGGGAACTGTGGGCAGCTGACTTGACTGGGGTTGAAGCTTGGCATCTACTGGGACTGGAACTGAAGATGGGGAATCCTTGGGATAGAGCTGGGAGCGCCACTCGGGTTGGAGCTGGGATCAAGGTCGGATCTGGCTTCTGCTGGGGCCAGAGCTGGGTATCACTGGGCACAAGACTCATGTAGGATTGCTGCTTGGATAGCACTGGGAAAGCTGTAGGGCTGCACTGGGGAATGCTGGGCAGCTGACTCGATGGGGTTGAAGCTTGGCGATTTACTGGGACTGGAACTGAAGATGGGGAATCGCTTGGGATAGAGCTGGGAGCGCCACTCGGGTTGGAGCTGGGATCAAGGCTCGGACTCTGGCTTCTGCTGGGGCCAGAGCTGGGTATGCACTGGGCACAAGACTCAATGTAGGATTGCTGCTTGGGATAGCACTGGGAAAGCTCTAGGGCTGCACTGGGGGAACTGCTTGGCAGCTGACTCGAACTGGGGTTGAAGCTTGGCGATCTACTGGGACTGGAACTGACAGATGGGGAATCGCTTGGGATAGAGCTGGGAGCGCCACTCGGGTTGGAGCTGGGATCAAGGCTCGGACTCTGGCTTCTGCTGGGGCCAGAGCTGGGTATGCCACTGGGCACAAGACTCAATGTAGGATTGCTGCTTGGGATAGCACTGGGAAAGCTACTAGGGCTGCCACTAGGGGGACTGCTTGGCAGCTGACTCGAACTGGGGTTGAAGCTTGGCAATCTACTGGGCTCAGGTCTCACTGTGGGCACATCACTTGGTAATGAACTGGGCATTGCACTGGGATTCTCACTGAATATTTCACTGGGTACTGTACTCAGGACGTGACTTGATTGACTTGGAGTGATGCTCGGCTTGTAGCTTGGTAATGCACTAGTACTTGGGTTCTGACTTGGGGAAATACTTGGACTTTGGCTGGTACTAGGATTGAAGCTTGGAGGACCACTTGGTTGAGGACTACTTGTGGGAGACTTGCTTGGACTTCCACTTGGGGTTGAGCTTGGGAGTTGACTTGCCTGGATGCTTGGTGGATCACTAGTCAACCAACTTGGGCTAGTACTTGGATGAGGGCTTGGTGCCTGACTTGTACTGGGATGAAAGCTTGGAGAATTACTAGGCATAGCGCTTGTGGTGGGAGGCACACTGGGAGTAGCACTGGGTTTGCTGCTTGGAGCAGTGGATGGATTGGGTGTTGGGCCTGTTGCACACAATGCAGTCACACCTTCTTCAGCAGAAATAGCATTGAATGCATCAATGAGGGGACCAAGGTACCAGCCTTGTGATAGGTCCTCTGTTGCTTCTACTTCTGCCTGTATTCTGTACTGCACTAGCTCTCCATTTGAAGCTTGCAGTTGTCTTCTTTGTGGTATCCTGCCAAGCACCACAATGCTGAGCACTATGGGGACACACCCAGATAGGACATCGCGCATAGCCTGACTTGCATTCCACATGGTATTCACAAGATATTGATTAGTGAGGGAAGAAGATCCACCAGACAAGGCAACAGTGATCACTGATGTAGTATTGCTTAGAGTGCTACTACATGCAGCCTGTGTGGGAGCTCCAGTTGGAGGGACTGATGGATATTTGCTAGTGGGCTGAGCTGATGGACTTTCTGATGGACTTGCAGAAGGTACTGGCGATGGCTGCTCAGATGGTGGTGCATTTGGCCATGATGATGGTACACCTGATGGTTTGGGTGTAGGTTCTGGGGTGGGTTCCTGGGTTGGTTCTGATGTTAGTTCTGTGGTTGGTTCAGGGGTTGGAACAGTTGTTGGTGATGCTGTTGGATCAGTGGTTGGTTCTGCTGCTGGGTCCTGACTAGGTATATATGATGGGTGTTCGCTGGGCACGGATGATGGAGGTGGGCTAGGGGCTGAGAAATGTGCCCTTGTTGGAACAATGGAAGGATCTACAGTTGGCAAAGATGTTGGATTCAGTGTGGGCTGTGGAGTGGGGACATCAGATGGTGACAGTGATGGGTGCGTGCTAGGAAATGCACTTGGTTGCTTGGATGGAATTGTGGTGGGTAGACCAGTTGCTGCTCTTGGACTAGATGAAGGCAACACACTTGGACCAGAGGAAGGGAGCACACTGGGAAAAGCAGTGGGTAGCAGAGTTGGAGGAGGTGAAGGACTTTGTGTTGGAACTGTTGTTGGGTTCATGCTTGGGGCTGCTGTGGTTGGGCTTGGTGTACTAATTAATGATATTGATACGGAAACACTGGCATTTCCAACTGAGGTGTAGAAAAAGTTCTGAGGTTCAGCCCTCGAAGCGTTGGGTGGCTGAGTGAATGACAGCAAAGTGTCTTGGCGCACAGCTGCTGACGGAGCCATTGTAGGAGACAATGTCAAATTTCTTGGATCCTCTGTGACTTCTTCAATGATGTCCACCGAAATAGCAAAGACAGGAGTTGCATCTGCGGTTGTTCCATTAACAGTGAAGATACCCGTGTTGTTGCCACCACCACCGTCGAATGTGCTACCAACCCCTTGTGCGACAGTTCCTCCCTGGGCTTGCCCTGGGGTATCTCCTTGACCGTTGCTGCCTTGTGCTGCATCTTGTGCTGCTTGTTCTGCTTCCTGCTGGGCGGCATCTTCTTCCTGAGCTTTGATGACATTGGAGTTGAACTCCTTCAAAAAGTCTAATGTGGTAGTGTTTCTCTCATCTTCCGGGGAGGAGCCAATGGGACATAAACAAACATCCAAAGCCTGCTGTAGCTTTCTGCCAGAAACAATCTGTCTTGCTGGGGCTCCCAGTTGTGATCATCCTCAAGAAGACTCCTACGAAAAATGTCGTCAAACAGATTGAATCCACCTGTTTCCGAGATTGGACAGTTCCTACATCTGCCTGTAACTTCAAACAGTACTCTGTCACGCCTTTGTGGTAAAGAAGTTGCTTCTGAAGAAGATGTGGAATTGTTGGTGCCTGTAGAATTCCCCCACATTGTAGTGTTGCTGTCAGATGTAGCTTGCAATCTTCGACCTGATAGTTCCCTGGTCACAACCAAACCAACATTGGAGACAACGCGAAAGAACTCATCGCATGCCTCAAAAGACAACGTGTTGTATGTTTCCAAGAACACCGTTTCCAAGGTTTCCTTGGTCCTCTCTGGTAACAGTGTAGGATCAACTCCCAAGTCAGCATACACAAAAGATTTGAATGGCCTAATCTCACCCTCACAAAGGACAGGTTGGCCTTCCAATACATTTTCTGCCACAGTCACAACAGACTCTGCCCCACCTTCTTGTTCCAATTGAGTAATCTCATCATTGAATTCCAGCTCAAATTCTTCGGAGGTTGGACCTGAACCAATAACAGGCTCTTCCCCAGCAGGGCAAAAGCAGGTTTTGTTATCCTTCTGTTGTAGGTTGCGCATCTTCTCAGATTGCCAGTATCCATACCCAGAAGCTCTAGTAGTTTTCAACAATGCGCGTCTTCGTCGCCTGAAGATATCGTCAAAAAGGTTGAACGTGCCGGTTTCAGTCACAGGGCAGCCTCGGCAACTCCCAGTCACGGCGAACATGGTAGGGACAATCTCATTGCGCCGCTGCTGCTGCGGTGTGAAGGTAGCATTCAATGTTGAGGCATTGAAGCTGGCTGTCCATTCCGACAAATCTCGCTCTATCAGAAGATCTTCCAGTCTTCTACCACCAACATCGCCAAGGGCATCACTGGGAGCAACACGGAGCTCGACTCTGGCAACGGTTCGAAAATGGCCATCACAAGTCCTGTATGCCAACTGGTTGTAGGATTCTTGGAAGATGCGCTCTATGCGGGCAGCTTCTTCCCTCGTGAAAGATGTGATGTTAACCTTGAGGTCTGTAAAGACAACAGATTGGAAGTCTCTAATCAAGATCCCACAGGGCACAATCTGTGCTTCTTCCACTTCCTCAGCAGACTGCACTGACTCAACAATTCCATTCTCTTGAAGATCCTTCAGATCTGAATTGTAAGAAACAATAAAGTCATCCTGGGTCAGACTGGGTGCGTCTTTGTCATCATCCTTGTCTTCCAGAGGGCACAGACAAATATCTTCATCCATGAGGCCGCGGCCAACAGAGGTGCTCTGCCATTGAATCCTGCTCATTTCAACAGCAGCATTGCCCTGTGGCAACAGCTTCCGTTGAATCTGGACATCATCAAACAGTGTGTAGCTCCCAGAGTCACTGACAGGGCAATCCCGACACTGTCCCTCGATGAAGAAAATCCCACTTGCTGTCTCGAGTGGCCTCGCTGTGGGAGTGAAGGTTGGGTGAAGGGATGGTCCTTGTGAGGGTGTCAGGGAACGCAACAGTGACGGTACCCCTGTCACGTTTATGTCGGGAATGGGCCGTGTTGTGTTTGTGTTTGTGTCTGCAAAAGAAATGATATCTGTTGCGTTTGTGTTTCCCGGCAAGGTAGCTGTGCCATTGCCTCCCACAATAATTCCCAGCTCCAGCAAAGAACGGTTCTTGTGGTCTTGGTCTTCTTCTGGTTGATCGAATTCCAACTCCAGCTTGACACTGGTGATGGTTCGGAAATAGGGATCACATGTAAGAAAGCTCAATCGGTTGTATGTCGCAATGAAAGAAGCCTCCAAAGCTTCAATCTCTTCATCGGAAGGCCTGGTATTCCTAACGAGGTTGATGTTGACGTAGGAAAAGGAATTGAAACTTTCAATGTCTTCCGAACATGACAGAGTTTGTAGCTCGACAAGTCTTGTGGTGGTGATTTGGGTGGCTAGATTGAGCTCTGGAAGGAACATCTCTAGCGATATCAAATTGGTGTCTGTTGCAGCACCAGCAGGACACTTGCAGTCAGTGGATGATGTTTCTTCTCCCGAAAGCTGCTTCGTCACTACTGCGAACTGTGGTGGTACTGGTGTCTCTGTTCCGGGTTGTGGTGGTACTGTGGGTGTCTCTCTCCCTGGTGTTGTGGGCGCATCGGTCCCTGGTGGACTTGCCGGTGGCACTGTTTCCAGTGCCAGTGTTTCGGTTGCCAGCTCGCCAAGACCAGCAATGGTAAAGGTGGTGTTACGGACATAGAACGGGAACAGTGGTAGAGAGGTCGACATGGTGCAGTTGTAGCACTCGGCTGTCACCCGGAGTGTTAGAATCGTACCGGCATCCCCTTCTCGGGTGCCTACCATCTCCACCGACTGAATGGTTCGAAAATGAGGAATATCACAGGACTCAAAGCTTTGGCGGTTGTAGGTTTCCTGGAATGCCTCCTCAAGTCCATCGAGTTGCAAGGAAGTCTCATCCACGTCATCCAGCATGTAGAGAACGAGGGTTCTCTGCAGAGTGGTTATTCCATCCGGAGGACACACATATTGGTCTGCCGAAATAAGATTGGGTGTTTTGGCTGCACTTGCACTACTAGATGCCATGAGAAAGACAAGAGACCATGCAAGCCAAAGCAGCCAAGTCCTCGCGTTGGAAGGTTTGAGAACCATGATGCTCCTCGTGATGCGAATGGGAAGTTGCCTTCTACGTGATAAGGTATAACAGCGGCTTTTGCAAACAAGTTTACCAGAAGAAATGTGATTTACCAGAAGAAATGTGATGCTTGGCGGCAGAAGCGGTACCGAGGGACAAGCAAAGCCTTGTTGGTGAAAAGGGAGGTCAGAATCATGAGCAATGGGCTTGACGTCGACGGTTGGTTGGCCATTGTGACGTATGCACACTACGTATGCATGTGCCTCGATACATAGCTTGTAATATGCCTCGTAATCTTTTTGTTACGAGTTTCACGATGGGAGCCGGGTGATGTCGAAGCTGGCTAGTCTATAGGGATAGGCTACTGTATTGGCTTTCTTTTGAGACTTGGATAAAAGTCGTAGTTGAAGATAGAAAACAAATACTGCCTCTTTCTTTTGAGACTCTTTCTTTTGAGACTTGGATAAAAGTCGTGGTTGAAGATAGAAAACAAGGACTATAATAAATAGATAAGTTAAGGAGCGAAGCTAGGGCAAAGCGGTGGCATCGGTAGTCGTAGATGAATGGAAACGCGAGTGTACCGTATCAGTTCCTCTGGCAAAACTCTGAGGATAGGACACATCGTACAGTACCTGAAGTCAAGATCTTGTTTCGATTTTCGAACCATACAACTTCTACGCTTCTCATTCTGCACCTTATTTGCTTGGGCTTCCATTTTCCTTTCATCCATGTTTCGATTTTTTGTAGCATCTGACGTGAGCAGATGCCATCCAAACCTCGCCTTTTGGCTTCAAGATTCCTCTTATTGTTGTCCAGACCAACTAAATACATGCACTGGCCATCAGTACCGTCTGCCGTCTGTGTTGACAAATTTCTGGGAACCAGGATTATGGAGGTGCATCGCAATTGGGGGTCTTGTGGCTCCCCGCGATGCCACTGTCTTGTCTCTAACTGTTGCTTTGAATCATAACATTGCAAGTGGATTGGTCGATTTCGATGTTGAAGTGAACGGGAGTCCACGGAAGTTCACCTGGCAACGTCGACTCCGCGTCGCCTTTGATGGTTTCGAGGAGTGACGTAATCAAGATTGGCGAACCAGAATGGATCCTCTCTTTGCGGGTGCTAACGCTGGAAAGGCAAGCCCCATACTAGCAGGCCCACGCTCTGTCATTGCCGTCAATTCTCATTTGAGCATTCCGGTCTGGCCCTGGTGGGCAGGAGGCCGAGTTGTCCCAGTCTCCTTGGGAGGACCTCTGCAAGATCCTTTCTTGTTGCTGGCGCACCAAAAGCACTGGTTTGATCCCAAAGATCCACTCCGACAACCCTTCCAACAAGTCGCCAGCATTGTTTCGGAGCTTGAGGCAGAAGATGCTCCCTCGTTCTACCAGACCACTGCTTTCGCCAAGAAGTTGTGTGCTTGGAAGTCAGCATTTCATTTGCATGAAACTAACTGTCAGCAACATTTTCGCAAGCACGGGATGCATCACTGGAGACGAACCCACGATGGCATTGGTTCTATCGGAGTGGGAGCACATGTGGCATACCTGCATGCCATCGCTGTGGCGTAGGAGTCTTTCCTGATGCCGGAGACATTTGTTGTGCCAGCAGTTGTGGTCGGTAATGTGGTGGCTCAGGATGTACCGGTACCAGCAGTCAGCTTACCAGCAAACTGTAATCTTTCCAACATCCGGAACAATGGAAGCGTCTGCAAAAGCTGGGACGAGACTGTGTCTTGGATTTTGTTTGAGCTGTCTTGGGGATATCCAGTCTGTCTTTGTTGGAAGATCGACGTGGCCCTTGGCATTGATGATAGCTACGTTTCTAAAACCGACAAGAATGCCACTATAATGGTACCTGTTACAAACTAATAGGATGCATTGGCATATAGCAGGTAAGGTGCAGTGTCAGGACCCACGTGAACTCCACGACAAGTCTGAATTGTCTTTGTCCCTTGCTTTAAAACCCTTTTGCCGGAAGTCAACTATCCGAAAGTCTCGAATGTGCGGGGAGAAGTACTTCCCCCTGCCCTCAAAAGCTGTTTGTCCAGGAGAAGGTGCTTCGAACCTATCCTTGTGTTCGCTGAAGCTGCTGCCTGACCGCATCAATTCAATCCCGAAGTAGTAGTGACTGTTCACATAGAAATCGAGTTCCCCTCGTTGATGATCTCCACGCGGTCTGGCAATATAGCACTCATTTCAGCAACAACCTCAACCTCCGTGCTTGCAGGCAAGCTTGATGTGAGACCCAAAAAGAACATTTGCTGGAGAGCACCTTCCTTCGGGAAAGACCTGCTGTCGGATGCTTGGCAGCTCTGTTGGAGATTGACGCGTGTAAATGTTGAAAGGGTTTTCTCAACAAGATCTTGGATGCCCGTTATTTTGGTACCCTCTGCAGCCCTGGCACTGAACAATTGGGAGTAAAGTTGTCTGGCAGACAGCTTGAATGAGATCTCTTGCTTGATTTGAGGCCAAACTCCGGGGGTCGGTGGACTGGTTGTAGTCTTCATCTGACGGGGGGCCTCTTCCAGACTCGCAAGGTTGGTCTTGTCGTGAATGAAATTTGATAGGAGGCCTTTTTCCTCCTCTGGCTTCAGACGGAGGTCAGAAAAACCAATGGTGGCACTCTTTCTTGTCAAGCAATGGGGATCCAGGAGCGTTCGCTGTGCGACGAGTGGTTGCTCCAACAATCTTCAAGCGGTTTGGATTGAGATAATTCATGTTCAGTCAGGAGAGCTTCCCAGAACTTACTGGGTGCATTTTGAATCTCGTCACAAAAAAGGATTCGGTAGTCATACGCATGGTTTTGCGGTACTGTAGAGCATCCAGTTTTGCCACAGCCTCCTTGATTTGCTCCAGGGGATTGATTCTTCTGATCCGAAATATATGATAGGTGTACCCCGTTATGGGCCCTTCGTTTTGGGCACAGTAATGCTCTGTGATGATCATTAGATTAGACTTGACTTGCCAACAGCTGCCGGCCCCTTGAGCAGGACCAGCCCATGATTCTGAACCTTCTCAAGGAGGAGTCGAACAAGGTGCTCTCGGGGGAGCGTCGACGCGTGTGTTGGATTGTGTCCACGCCCTTATCAAACCGTAGGAATCGTGCCTTTTGTTTTGGTGGGGCTTGCTGCTGTGGTGCCACCATAATCAAGGGATGATCGTCGGATGTGGGCGGAGTCTTTTCCTTCCTCAATTCGTCAATCACCTCTTCTCGTTACCAGAAGATTTCGGTGGGTAGACGACAATCTCATCCACCGGGGCATACGGTAGTCAATTTTGGGTTTCAATTCTGTCTTGGTTGCCTTGATCAAGGCTCCAATATTTTTTGGGATTGGTTCAATTTCCACAGGTTGGCCCTGCGGTTCATCCTTTCCATAGTAGTACTGGTAGAGCTGAACCCAAACAGACACAGTCGGCTTTGTTGTTGTTGTTGTTGTTGGTTGTTGTTGGAAGTGGTGGCAGTGGACAACTGTCATTGGATTTCCTCGTTTGACAGGCGTGCCACGTGGACGCTAGCTGGGGCTATCCCAAACCTATCAAAGGCTACCCAAAAAAACTACAGAGGAAAACAAGCGGCGAGACTTGTTCAATGAGATCAGGGGCAACAAATTATTATTGAGGGCCAACCTTTGGATGCATGCCACAATGCTTCCTGGCTGCGGTAATGGCACCGCACCTACTAGCTAGCTAGCTAGCTAGCTAGCATGTGCCACCCAAGCAAAGACGAGGAACCCAAGCACGCATATTATGTTCTTTCTTGCACCTCAGTGGCCACAAGGAAGAAGCCACAAATCCCAACACAGCTACCACTACTAGATCTAGACCTGCCCCTCAGATATGAATCGCCCATTGATTGACATCTATCTGTTCAGGAAGCACAGCGTTTGATGGCAAATAGAAAATCCTGCTCTCGTTACTAAACTAAAAACAGTGACCTAGGATGCGAGAAGCATGTGAATCGAATCCCACCAAGGCAACAACTAACTACAACCACACCATCAACCACAACCCTACTCCTGGTACGAATCGAATCTTTGGGCTCTCAGGCATCCCTGGCGATGTATGTATTGACCAATAAGCTTGGGCTTGTGTATGTATACATGATGGCCGAGTGCGTGCCAGTGACGGTCGGAAGGGGGCGGCTATTATTTTCCGTGAACAGCAAAAATGGATGGTGCTGTCCTTCTTGCTGCTGTTTGGCCAAAAGGAATGCGTTTTGTCGTCTCGAATTCCAGTAGTTGTCCACCGAGTTCAATGTCAACCCACCTAACGTAGTACAACAGAAGGAATGAGGATGACACAGAGTTCCTGATGCATGCCGCTACCACTGCCAAAACCACCACCATCCCCAAGAGAAGTGCCGGTGTCTCGCACAACAACAACAACAAGTACTCCACTGCCCCCAGAATACTCCATACCAAAAGAATCGGAACGAGCACCAAAAGCTGCGCCAGCAGGGACTGCTGATCCATACGATGAACCAACTCCAGACCCCACGAAACGTACGGCAACAGTCCATCCTCGACATCATTGTTGTTGTTGTGGCAGATTGTTGTTGTTGCTGTTTCTGCAAAGTTGCAGAAGAGTCGAAGAGGACGCATCCACAAATGCGCGACATCCGACTGATGGAGCTGTAGAAACTCGAGACTCCCAATGCCGGATAGATACACGTATCCCTTATTATTATTGTTGGATTGTTGTTGTTGTTGTTGTGGATGTTGCAGAGTGGTGTAGCTAGACGCCAGAATGCCACCAGCGACCACGAGGGTTCCATCCTTGGTCAAAGGAGCGTACAGTCCGTTTCGGGTGACGGTTCGAATGTTGGTCACGACCATGCGTTTATTGTTGTTGTTGTTGTCATCATTCGAAATCATAACGTCTTGTAGCACATGTCCCACCTGCACCATGCGAGCGGGAACTGGTTTGGCTTGTCCTTTTAGGTATACCATGTGATCCGGCGTGAGCTCCAACAAGGGAGCCATCCTACTAGTATCATCTGCTACTTTTGTATCATCCTCGACTTGAATTTGTAGAAATGTGGTGGACTTTGTGGTATGACGATGGGCAAACGCATAGACGGGCTGGAACGTGCCACTTCCAGTCAAAATGGCATCGCCCACTTGCAACTCTTGCATCGCAATCCAACCATTGTTCTGTTTATTTTTATTTTTTGACGACAACGACAGCACCATGGTCTCACCCGAAAAGCACGTGTTGACGCCAATATTGTCACAACTGTCGTCTTTGGAGGGATCGCAATCGGGATCATACGGTTTGTTATCGCAGGAAGCTGGAGCACAGACATCCTTGCTGTTCACGCCGCGTTCTTTGCAACAAAGAGGCACTTTGCCAGAATCCTTCCAGCAAATGGAGACTGCTTGGCACTGTTGTTGTAATTAGCAAGACAGATAGACAGATAGATGAGTCATGAATAGACAATCAATCAAACGATGGAGACAAGAACTTTAGTTGATCAACACGTACATCTTGGTCATTGTCACATCCAGTCTCGCAGTAGGAAAGGGTCAGCTCTCGCTGTCGTTCATGCTCGATCAACTGCTCTGGTTTCATGACAGCCCTTAGAAATTGCTGCTGATGTTCTTCTGTAGCATCTCCGGCTACTACCAGTACTGGGCAGACGAGGAGCCATGGTACTACATGTAGGAGGACAAAGGAAGACGCCAACAGCATCATCGTCTTCTTCTTCTTGGGTGCCATCAGGATCATGTTGTGTTGGTTGAGTTCTGCGAAAGATATAAAAAATAAATGGTGTCATTCTCATCTCATTTTTTCGGCCTTCTTGGCCAAGAATGGCAAAAGTGAGAACACGTGCTTTCCGTTCAGTCGAGGAAGCAGGTGTACCTCTCCTAAGCCTTCGGTCAAGGTTACTTAGACAGAACTCCACTTAGTAGCTGGATCGACTCTTCTAAAAGCGCACTTTTATTTAGGTAACTATTTACAAAATCACCGTGCTCCATGAGTGCTCCAAAGGTGCCCCTGTTCGTCTAAATACCTAAACAGCTGGAGGTCAGGCTTAACCCTTTTTTGGAATTGCTTAAAAAGACCATCTGATCTCGAGTCCCACCTTCTTCCATAAGTGTTTAGTTCCTTTCTTCTAAAAGACAACATTTGTTTAGGGAGTCATTTAGAAGATCACTGTGCCCTAACTGTGCTCCTGTTCTTCTAAATACCTGACCAGCTGGGCGTCAGACATAATCCTTTCTGGAAACCTTCTTCTCTAACTAGAGCCATTAATTAGACAATACTTAGGTAAAGATGGAGCACTGGAAGTGTCCCACAGGTGCTCCAGTTTGTCTAAGTAAAAGAACCAGTGTGCTGCGTCGAAATCCAAAGGATTTAGTGAAAGAACCAGTGCTTCTAAAAGTCATCCTTTATTTAGAAAGAGACTGTGCTCCAGAGGTGCTCCAGTGGTTCTCCATTGGTTTAAGTAAATTGACTTGGAGTCCCTTCGTTGTGCTAAGTAATTGGGTTGCTTTCTCACGCCTTAGGTCTCCCCCTCTCCAGACCAGAAATAAATGCTCTCACAATTTTGGTACCTGGAGCGTGAAAGTGGTGAGGTGCCCTCCGAGGCAGGAACTTGCTCAAAGGAGGACCAATCGAGTGGACCAGTAGATAGCTAGACTAGCTAGACGTTTGACGGCAAGAGCTGGGAATACTGAGTAGTGGGTTTTACCATGGTGTTTATCTCCAACGCAAGTAGTGAGAATCGCAACAACGCAAAGAGGAGACGAGAACCCCCCAAAAATGTTAAGCCAAACCCTTCAAGCTACGGTAGATGGCAGCACGAGGACTGTGACGTCTACGGTAGACAAAGCAGGAATCGCAGGGAAATGACGAAGTGCTTCGCTAAGCATGCAGCATTGGACTACCAGCAGCAGAGAGTTCCCTGTCATGGCTCGGAGAAGGAGAAGTCCTATCCAGCGAATGTTCGTGTTTTTGAGCTGAGCAACACACAGTCTGTTGGGTCTTCTCGCTTTTGCTTTCCGAGGGGATCAGGTTTTACAGCGTTCATCCCAATCCAATCTGAGGGGATCTCCGAGACGCGTTTCTTCAAGATTTCGCCAACCAAGGTGGCGTCAACCTCAACACGTCGTCGGTCAGGATTGCCATGTTGATGCTTGATGAATGAATGAATGAAATATACAAGTGACTTTTGGACTGAGATGCCTCAGGCAATCCAGGCCATCGCCTTGTCCAACATCGCCTTCCGCAAGCAACATGGAACAGTGAAGCGTCAAGATCGGAGTCGAAAGGGTCATAAACTGAGCGGCTCACAAGAATTTCCGAAGGGATCTTGAAAGCTACTTTCGTACCGAAACCCAGCACCGAAGAAGACACGACCTCATCCGTCAAGGCGAACGTCTCTCGAATCAAGCAATGAAACACGATGAAGCTAATGTTTTGTTTCGACGGGCTCAGAAGATTGATCCATACGAGATAGATGCACATCATGCTATGCTAACTCAATGTTACCTTGATGCCGGTCGCTTCAGTGAAGCACCGGTACCACAAAGGCAGACAGTGGAAACCTGTGCGAAAAAGGTGCTGTGTTGTCCTGTTCAAGAGGAATGTTACAAAGTCTTTACCTGTGATTCTGAAGAGACGACGAGTGCTGGACAAGCAACATACGACGGAAGAAGTGGCCCCAGAACAATCTGCTCTTGCAGCCTTTCGTACTCTACAGTTGCCTTTTTGAAGATTCACAAGTGGTCGGGCAAATTGTATCACAGACGACAAAATCCTTGGCCGAGTATGAAGCCTGCTGTTGCAGGCGCTGAAGAAGTCTCAAGACAAACGCGCGACCTTAGAAGGGACCTTAGTTAGAAGGAGAACCTATCGGGAGATGGTTCTGCGCAGAGCACTCTTCCTGGCTGGATATATCAGCAATGGTTGATTACCCCTACCGTATACTTCGATGCAAATATCCTGCCAGAAAGGCATTCGCTGGCAGGAGTTTTCAATGGCGGTCAGGATTCTCTATATCCTGACTATCTTCACTGTGTCGAGGAGGTTGTCAAAGACGGTAACCTTTGGACTTTATGCAACGTCGCAAGATCCCACCAAAACAACAACTTGAAGCCTATTCTTGGGGGACTTTTTGATGGCCTTTCCCGCCTCCCTTGCGACATTTTGAACAATATAAGGCTCGTCTGCATGTAAGGCAGAGCCGGAGAATGATGGTCGAGACTTCCATGCAGTGAAGGTTGATGGAATGGATGGGCTGAAAGTTATTCGCCCAAATAACCTTGACGTCCTGCCCCTGGCACCTCACCTACCGGTATCCAAAGGTGTTATGTCTGGAGGACACCGGTAGTGTCCAATGGATGTTTATGAATCGAATCCCTAGCTCAGCATTGGTTTCTTGGGGAGGTCTGACTGTATGAGTCTACATTTGGTTCCTGCAGAGTTTACAACCCTTTGTTGCGGAAGAGAGGGTAGGATAAGGCACTGCTATCCAATGTTACACGGTCCCTGGCTAGCTAGCTACCAAGGCTCCACTTCTCTTGCGCCCTGGTGAGGAGCTGGGTTCCGTGAGCCGGCACCTGCTATACATATTTTGTTGGGACCTCCCAGTCTGGTTCTTTCTGGCAGGGACTGGATGTCTCTGGCTAGCAGCTCCTGTCTCTGTTCCGTAGCCTGGCTACCGTATAGGATAGCAAGCGAGAACGGACCCAAGGGGATGGGCAAATCTTGCAATAGCCCTGTATTGTAATGGAGTGTGACTCGCCAAAATCAGTTGAAAAGACGAAATTCGTATTTTTGCCGGAAGATAAATTGAATTGGATTGCATTGGATTGGATTGCATTCAATTGGATTGAATTGGATTCCAAATAGTACTGTTATTTATATAGTAAAATGTAATTCAATGCAATCCAATCTAATCCAATGCAATCCAATCAAATCCAATAGAGAAAAACAGCCAAAGTAAAAGATTGGCTTATTGCACACAATTTTTACAAAAACGCTCTAACAAATTCAACACAGAGCCATGGGCAAGTTTGCTCATCCCCCAAGGACAGTGAGGGACACAACATACAACATATTCGGAACCCTTCCTGTCATCGACTAGCTCCCGGTACTACTAGCTAGACTAGCTACTAGTGGATGATAATAATAATAGCGATCACGTGATGATGGAAGGGATAGGGGAAGCACGAATGCTCCGTTCCTAACATGCGTATTGCTTTGGATACCGTAAAGTATTGAAGACTATTATGCGGGACACTGCTCACTGCTGGTACTAATGCTTCTATTATTAATAGGAAGACCAGATCAAAGATTTACGGCACTCATTTCTGAACATGGATATCATGTTGTATCCATAATGCTGTAAAATGTTTACAATAAGGCTTTGAATAGTGGTTTTGCATTAGAGAATTACAGATCCGGTTATAGTAATAACACGAGAGCCCCTGAAACGCACGCGGTTGTATTATACGTATAACATTTTCACTATGTATTCTACAGATCATACGTATTACACATATAACCTTTTTAATATGTATTAGACAAGTCATACGTACAACACAAGTAACACAAGTGGAAAAATATTATACGTATTACATGTATTATGTGTTGTACGTGTTGTATGTATAATACATAGTGACGAATTTTTGCTAAGTTTTTTTGCCAGGTGTTTTGCTAGGTGTTTGGGAGGCAGAGAGGAAAATGCACTGTTGCAGGCCATAATACCTGACAGCTTATCAAGTAAAATGGACTCTTACCTATCTGAACTCTCCCATGTTGCTAGATACAATATCAATGATGAAGAATGGACTCCTGCTTCAATCATTGTGAATGTAGCAACCTCACTGACTGATGAACAAAAATAACGAAGTTTTATTTTAAAGGCTACACCTCGTCAGACGATCCGCTGAACGGTGCCGTGACGAACCCATAATCCTCAGGCGCACGAGGGCGCCCACTTAGGATGGGCCTAGTGTAAGCCCCCCACTGGAGAAATTGAACAAAACTCCGGAGGGTGCTGTACGACTAACTATCACACTAGCGGAACAATGCCTAAAGAACCATCTCTCGCCAAGTGTTGTTAAGACTTTACTTTATGAACGGACAGGCTCATCTCTAACTTCGAAACAAATCGAATCTCTAAGGAAGAAGTCTGCAATCAAGTATGGTCCTGTCTTTGTGAAGCCAGACGGACCATCTCTCCAAGTATCACACCAGGAGGGACAGCAGCAGATAGGCTACTTGCCAGATTGCAATCCGACCAAACAAAATCGTTCGTTGTCCTTTTTTCCTCATATGACTCCGGCCTTCTTCGAATTAGACAATCACATAGGGGAGCCACACCTCAGAACATTGATCCTGAAGTATAACACGGGTGATACATATAATACACGTTACATGCATAACAAGTGTTACACCATAACACGTTATACATGCGTAACACGCGTAACACGTGTTGCGCGCTGAGGTACTTACATGGTGTTCAGTACTGGTCCCTACAGAAAGTGGTTGACAATGGTAGAATTCAAGGCAAGGTCTTCCACAGGCTTTGTCAGTGAGCCTTCAGAAGTATATGAATGCAAAGAGAATGGTCTCTGAAGGTCTGTACAGGGCTGAGGAAGAGAGTGGAGGAGAAAATGGAGAATGAGTTGAATGAAGAAAATCATTCTATCTTTCCAAAGGAACAATCTTCTTGGCTTCAACAAAGCCTTACCACATTGCCTACTTACCACAATGATGGTGCTATCTTAAATAACAAGAGAAACCTTTGTATCCTTCAACAAACAAGAGAAGAGAGGTTGTTGTCATGGTGGTCTTTGTGGTGGAGATTGGAGTTGGAGTTGAAGTCAAGTTGGAGTTGAAGTCAAGTCATTGTGCGAAACTCGAACGGTCACGGTGGCTGGCTGGCGCGCGTGTTATACGTGTTATACGTGTTATACGTATTCCACATGTAAGACATGTTACACCTGTTATACGAGTGTTACACCTGTTATACGAGTGATACAAGTTATACGAGTGATACGAGTTATACGTGTAACATCGCGTGCGTTTCAGGGTCTCTCTAGTGAGGGCGAGTTCCGGCAAGACAGCACCGGTACCGTAGCCAAAAGGAAACCACAATTCCCACCACCTACAAACCCACCAAGAACCAAAGCATGATACCCATGTCCAGCGACGAGGTCAACGAATAGACAACGTCAGGACACACCTTTTCAGTTTTATTCCTAACTAATAGATTGATAACACACAGCTACAACACAAAAAAGAAAGAAACGAGGAGAGGGAGGAAAAGCTACTGTACCGTACGCATGATGGTAGCAGGAAGGGGTATATTCCTCCTTTTCTTTCCCCTTTTGCTGCTACCCATTGGATCATCATTGTCAGGAGCCCTGGCCCAAGAAGACGACAATGATGATACCATTCGAATCGCCTGCATTTTCGACACTACTGGCTATGATTGGAGTCCCGATGTCTTTGAAGTGACCTTTCAACTCATCAACGATGGATGGTGGGGAATTCTACCCACTTCTACTACTACTAGTAGTAGTAACAACGGTACTTCTACTACAAGAACAAGAGTGACTTATGAATTGATGGACTCCAACTGCGATGCCATGGCAGCTACAAATGCGTATTGGACCATGTTTCACAACGACCACAACAACAACGACGACGATAACCACACGACGCAACAACCATTACGACGCTTTCATGGAATTGTGGGACCCCGCTGCAGTGGTGCCGCCATTGCGTTAGGGCGATTTGCGGGATTGGAGGAAATTCCGCAAATATCTCCCACCACCAATTCGGCCATTCTTTCCGATAAAACACAATTCCCACTATTTAGTCGTCTGGTCCCTCCATCAGATGAACGAGGACACGTCGGTGCTCTCGTGGCAACGCTACGGCAATTTGGATGGGATCGCATTGGAATTCTAGCCACGGATACGGACTATTCCAAACAACGCGTGCGCAATCTACGCAAAGCATGGATTGGAAGTCATGGTAATAATACTACTAAGTGGGTTGGACAAGTTGCCTTTGATGTGTCTTTTCATGTGGATGAAGACACCAACCAAGTTGATTTGGAACATGCCAATCAAGCACTCTCCTCCATCGCCACAATTCACGAAGAACAAGACGATCCCAAAGTCATTATCCTCGTGGGACACGATCGACACAAACGGGATGTACTACGAGAAGCGTATGCACACCGGTACTTTTCTCCTGCTACGGTTTGGTTGGGAGTGCCGTCCCATCAAATCAAAGACATTCGCTACGATTTGCAGCGACAAGATGAACAAGAAGAATTGCACATTCCAGGATGGTTCGAAATCGCACCGCGACTCAACAATCGCGATCCGGAATATCAGCGTTTCTTGGCCGCTCTGCGACTGCATCAACTCGAACACGGCAAGGAAGTCGTGCTGCAGCTTCCCACCCATGCCGATCATTTAGTGGATGCCATTCGGGCCATGGTCCTGGCACTGGTACAAACAAAAGCAACAGATCGGACCAATGGCACGGCCGTCGTGCAAACACTACGCAATTTGCAATTTGATGGAGTCGGGGGACGTGTCGAATTCGATCCTGCGACGGGAGATCCCAAAGCACCCGTCTTTTCCATTCTCAATGCGCAATCGGCTGCCACGGGACGTGTCCAGTGGACCGATATTGGGACCACGTCCACTACTATTGGGTCGGTCCAATTGACACACGGGCTAGCCAGTGTCTGTTTTTCGGCGCAAGAGGGATGTGGTCTCGCAGCACCACCGGATGATTCCTTTCCTCCATCGGACGACAAAGAGATTCCCATTTGGGCCATTTGTTTGGTCGGCTTTTTCCTCCTCACCATGATGGCATTTCTCTGTCTGGCTTGCAAATTTCGAGCCATTCAACAGGCCAAGGCAACCATTGAGCAAGAACTAGAGACGTTTCGAGAGTCGGTCGTCGGCATGAAGACGGCCGAATGTCACTACATTCCACTCATTCAAAATCGCAAAACTGACGAGCAAGATGACTTGGAGATGAATGTAAATCGACGACAATCCTTTTATATGCCGGGATATCAACAAATGATGATTAGTTTTCGGAGACCCAGTGCTGGTAAGCTGCTGAACAACAAAGACAGTAGCAGCCGCAGGTCCGTCCGGGGAGCCTTTCGAGACAGTGTTTTGAAGAGTATCTCCCGACAATTGCACTTGCCCAATCAGGAGGGAGTCGATATCACTTTGGGACGACCGGTGCCCGATGAGCTCGAAAACGAACCGAGACTGGTCGCTTGCCCCGGAGATGTCATTCAAATCACCATTCAACGAATCGACGGGTGGGCTTTTGGGACCAAACTTTTTCACAGCGATGAAGTGGCCGAACGACAGTTGGTGACATTGGCGCTCATGAATATTGCCAGTGAAGATGTCGAAGAACGAGTCTCTACAGAAACGGGGTGGTTAGAAATTGAAAATACGAGAGATCCTAGCAAACAAGATTTGGCGCAGCTGCATCAGACCATGGGTGATGCGACAGAAGCCCTCGATCCACCGAGTCACTGGAAGAACATGACGGACGCCACCACGGCGCTACGAGTCGAAATCGAAGCCGGCAACGAAGAACGAGAAGCCGTCCTCGCGTCGTTCCAGGCCACGTTGCCATCGAATACCAAGATTCAGAGCGTCCAGAGAATACAAAATCTCGCGCTGTGGCAGTCTTATGTGGTGAAACGACGAGCGGTTTACCACAGAGAGACTGGACATTTCCCTCGAGACGATGGCAAAGAAGAGCAATGTCGTACATTGCAAAAGATTGAACGGAAATGGGTGTTTCATGGCTGTGATTCCGACGTTGTGGACAAGATTGTGCAGCAAGGATTTAACAGGTGAGATTTGGCTTTTGGTTGGTCCGTTGCATTCAGATCTTTACTTTCTCCGTGGTCTCTCATCATGATATTTTACAGATCCTTCTGCGGCAAAAACGCTACATTGTACGGAAAGGGTGTATACTTTGCCAGGGATTCTGCTTATTCTTCTGCAACTGTGTACGCGAGGCCAGATGAAGACGGCTTACAGTATATTTTGGCGTGTCGGGTAGTTGTGGGGGAATACTGCGTTGGCCGTGAAGATGCTCTGACCCCTGATGTCCGAGAGGAACAAAGTCAAATTTTGTTCGATAGCACAGTTGACAATGTGGAGGATCCCACCTTGTTTGTGACGTACCACGATGCACAGGCATATCCAGAGGTACGAATCGATTTATCGCTGTCAACACTAGCTCAAAGCCTGACTCTCTCTGACTTTTTCTGATTCCCTGCTTGTGACAGTATTTGATCGCTTTCAGCATCCCTGAAGGTGGCGATCTGGCCCTCCTCCGAGAACTGGAACAGGCCGGTGCATCAGCATCAACGAGCAACCTCTCAACTATACACCAAAGCACGGAAGGAAGGTCTTCTGTTCGCTTTGGTGATGATGGAACCCCCATTTCGGCTGAGACGAAGGTGTCTCTCTGTTACGACGCTGAGGGAACTCCGATACCGTCTGATAATGCTGGTAAACGAAAGCCTTCTTCTGTTCTGTATGGAGCCGAAGGCACACCCGTGACGATGAAGTCCACACCGCCGCAACCAGCAATTCGCTACGGAGCCGAGGGAAAGCCCCTCTCATCTGACGACTTTGGCAAGGAAAAGACTTGTGCTGTTCAGTATGGACCCGAAGGAAAACCCATTATGGTGGAGGGGCAACGACAGCACCAAATTCGCTATGGACCCGAGGGAAAACCCTTGGCTTCTGACGATAGTGCAGCAAAGCCTTCAATAGTGTATGGAGCGGAAGGAAAGCCCATTGCGGTGGACGGGCAATGTCGGAAAAGCCAACAACCAATTCGCTACGGCGCCGAGGGCAAACCCATTCGGTATGGCGCAGAAGGACAAGTTCTTGATGTGGCACCTGCCGGGCTTTTAGGCAAGGCCGCATCCGTTCAATACGGTCCCGAAGGGCAAGTTCTGGATGTTGGTTCGGTCAGACTGAATCAGGGACAAAGTCATGGTGCACCAGAAAAGATTACAGCAGCATTCACACCACAGAAGACCGCGTTCCACCAGTCGAAAGACACTGCTTCCGGTCGTTCGTTGCTAGATGAAACAGAAACTGCAGCGGAAACAGAGGACATTTCAGAAGAGATGACGGGCTAGGCTCATCGGATGAACTGACACCGGCAGTTCACTACCATGGCTGGCCTATCCGAACCGATAGCAAGAGAGAATTCCTGCGACGCAAAAGAAAACTTTGATGAGCGCACCGTTGTTGGCCAATTAAGCTTGACCCCCGATGGAGCGACGCAGGTGTCGTCCCGCCCAGGGACCAAACCTCATTGAAACCATTGAATATTTTGAAATGATCACCGAAGGATCGGCCGCTTGGAGTAGCACTTAAAGTCGCGGAAAATGGCCATTAAGTTGCAGGAGGTGCACCTCTTGGGGAATGGAGATGGTTCCTCGCAACAAGGTGCGCCTCGTCTGCACGTGCTACACAATTCACTGAAGTCGACACTGGCTAAGTGCCACTGGCTAAGTGCCACACAGCGCTATTCGGTTTGGATTGCTTTGTCCAGTTGTTTTCTATTTTGGACAACTCTCTGTGACAAAGCTAGTCCGCATTGTGCCTAGAGGTCTGCACATTGTGCCTTTTCGAAGTGTTATTTCAACGTGTCGGGGAGAGTGCTTGTCAGAGAAAGTTGTTTGCGGTGAACGAAGCAAAATGCCTGTAGAGAAGAAGGTAGAACAAGAGCATTGGTTCCCGCGGGCTGACGACTTTGGTCCTTTCTGGGAGCAATGCTACCCAAGGAGACGCCAAGAGCTTTCCTAAAGGCACAACAAGCGTTGCCTGGGTATGTAGCGGTAGACGCTGCCAATTTCATAGTAGTCATTCAGCAGAGCATACATCAATACACTGGATAGGTGGCTAACCTCAAGTACACAGCCTGCTAAAGGCTTGGCTCTTACCAATGTGGTCATTCTCGTTTCAATCATCTCTTGAGCTTCGACAACAGTTTCAGGTCAATAGTAACAAGTGTCATTTTTCTAGATAGCACAATGCCTCAACCTTTCAACCACTTGCAGCCATGTGGAGCTTGCGCCTTAAACGCACCACTTGCAACCATACCCAGTGTTGATGCTGAGGATGTTGAGGCACCATGGTTGATGCCAGGAATGGCAACAAGAGGCTGTGGTGGATGTTGAGGACCATGGTTGATTCTAGGAATGACCTCCAGAAGCTGTGGTTCATGTTGTTTCACCTTGGTTGATGCCAGGAATGACGACGAGAGGCTCTGGTTGATGTTGAGGCACCATGGTTGATTCTAGGAATGACAACCAGAGGCTGTGGTGGATGTTGTTGCACCTTGGTTGATGCCAGGAATGACAACGAGAGGCTCTGGTTGGTGTTTACGTGACTTTAGTGGTGCGTTCAAGAGGGACGTCGAGCTGAGATTTTGTGAGGGCGGTCGACAAGGTGAAGGCTAATCTAACCATGGTCAAACCCTATTCGGAAGGGCTTGCTTTCTTCGACAGGGCAATCGCAAAAACAAGCGCCAATGTCGCTGAAGCCCGACGACGCTTAGAGCGGTTGCAACCAACAGCAGGAAGAAGGCGACCGCGAAACCATTGCCTACCTGGGAACAAAGATTTCTGAACTTTGTGGCAAACTGAGAAGGTGTATAGCGGCGTTTGACAGTGCAGAGGGGATGGATGATGAGGTCCGGGGTCTTGTGCTGGATGAAAAGGGTGATGCAATAACTCGTGTCGGGGCCAATGCGGATTTGGCTGTGGCAGCTCCCTAACTTTTTACCTTCGCTAAAAGCCATACTGTTGCCCCCACACCTTTCAGTATCGTTGCTGTCCTCGAGGAAACTCGCGTGGTATTGTTGGCCGTTGATAACAACCACGAAGCAGCTGTGAGTTACCGCGACAACAACGATGGCTGCACTCGTCCGACGGGTGGTGGCAATGGACAAGCATGACCCAGACAAAATTTCAACACCAAACCAAGTTGCTCTAGCTAGCTAGGTTCACCTAAGAGGTATTAGAAGCGACCAGAGTGGCTTATTTGGTTACTCCTGCATGTTCGGTACCATGGTGGATGCACATTCCCAAAATAGCGGCGAATCCTGCGTCCTTATGCTCGAGCCCCCAACTGTTAACCACACTCTTCGGCAAGTTCAATGGCAAACCGGTGAGAGCATTGCATCGCATCAAAGTCAGATGTGGCCGCCTAGTAGGATGTCGGCGGAATCTTGCGATAACGTTCAATAGTCAAGAAGATATTGGCTAGGCCTTCGATTGGTTCCAACACCTTGTCTACTCCGGCACGAAACTCGCTGCTCTCTTGCAAAATCTCGGTGAATTCTTGAATCGAATCGCTTCATCCAAAACGGCAATGGTTCCATCTTGTTGAATTCAATCTTCTTGTTCGCTCGCACCGTAGCTGCGGATTGCACAAGAAGGTGGCGGGCCTTGTCCAAAGAAGTGATCAATTGATCGTAATCTTCCATGATCGACCAACATGCTTCCAGAATCACAGCTTGTATCATATCTTTATGTCCGTGAACCAATGCATCCCATGTTACATCTGGTTCTTGTCGGCGAAGTTCGTACTCTTTCTTGGTCTTCGATACAAAAGCTGGGTGAGAGATTTAAACGAACCATGGAATGCAGGATCGAATTCCGCCAAGAATGGACTTACCATCCACCTCCTCTCGAGTAAGAGGCAGGACTTGCTCTCCGCCGCCATTGTCTGGTGCTCCTGCACCGATGGCTCCAACCACTTCCTCCATTGTTTGTTTGGGGTTCTTGATTTACGTGTACTGTATGATCTTTCCGCAAGTTTGGAAGCAAGTGATGTGATGTCGGCCTGCTTTCGCGTCCTTGGTTTAGGAAAGCTTATGCGCGCGAGGTGACATTCAGTACCGGTACCAGGTACCGTACAGTACCGGTACGGTCACGCAGTTGGTTAGGTGCACACTCACTTATGGCATAATCACTGTAAGTTGTTACTACTGTAATACCTGACTTTTGGTCGTTGCGCCTTATTTCCAATAGGAAAAGGGGGGGTTTAGAGTATGAAAATTAACAATTGATGATCCACATCATCTCACTGTCTGGATTGCACTGGATACCGGTACCATGCGTCCTAGGCAGTCACAAATAGGATGCATCAAGTAGTAGTGGATCCATACGTCAATTCTATTCCAACAAACACAACAGCTACGACACCATAATGAGAGCTGCCGCCGAGCGAGAAGGAGTGAATGACGTGAAAGTGGTCAACATGGCAGGATTACCGGCTGGAAGTATTGCCATTCCTCATGGAACCACATGACATGGATCCGGAAAGAAACCATAACCGCACCCAGCCACGACGAGGATTGGGATTGCATTTTGTACCAGGTCCGGTTCAATTTCACCGTGGAAGCCAAAAAGAGCAAACTCTACTCCAAACGTGTGCCCGACCATTGTACCAGCAATGAAGATCTACCGCAAATTCCACTGGATGCTGACGAGTTTCCCATTACATCGCAATCTACACTGGAAGGATCAGAATAGCACCTGTATTCCAACACACACAACAACACTTGTAAGACAGACATGATGGGAAACTCCAAACTGCAGAATGGGTGCCTTTTTGGATACATGGGCTGGTCTAGTAAATCTGGCGTTATTAGTCCAGAAGGCCTTGAGGTTTGCGAGTTCGAGTCTGTGGGATCGGCAGTGACGTCCGTGCCGTGCGTGTTCCTTGTTAGTCATGATATCGCTCCTTACAGATAGCACAACAAACCATTCAGTTGCATTATGGGCAGATACATGTACTCTCACACGGGCATCCCAACTGTTCAGCGGGGTTTTATGCCAAATGTCCTTCTTCGGTAGCATCGAGCACGTGCTTTCATCCCATGGGCATGCATTCTTCTTACGAGCCCATTGCAAAGTTTCTATAGATGTGCACCCCAAGCGGCATGTTGGGCCAGCATGCTGTTTCTGTCCATCACAAATGCCATGGACCAACGTTGGCTCTGGCCCATTTCAGCAATTCCAAATGGCCCCACAGAAAACCACTGTGTCTGCAAACCCTCCAAATGACTTCCGAGGTGTCTAAATCGGCCTGAATTTGCCAATAGTTGGCACACGACACGTTGTAGAATACAGATCCATAGAATGTGCCAGTGCTGGGTATTGAAGACTCTTCCAACATCCCCGTGTCTTCATTGAACACCAGTTCCTTTGGTGGATTCTCCACATTGTCACAATAGTCCTTGTAGAGTTTGTTCATTCGTCTGCTGACAGCCCCCACAAAAGCATAGTGTCCCATTCCCAAAAACGAAAAGATGCGGTTGTTAATATCCTCTTGATTTGCAAATAAGATCCATGGAGAATATAGTTTACACAACTGGGCCATGCGTTGGCCGTCTTCGTGGTTTGGTGGATCCACAGGAAACAAGACTGTGGTTTCCACGAGTTCTGCATTGTAGAACGTGTCCATGCCGGTGGCGGTGGGCTGTTCGTTGTCATCAGTGGTTTCCATAGGTGGATAATGCTGCACAGATTCACAGTAGTCCAAGTACAGTTCTCTCACCTTTTTGTTGACGGGACCTAGGAAAGCATAGTTGCCCATTCCCAGAAAGGGGAGGATCTTGCTCACCCAAAGGTCCCTGTGATCCATGAAAGAATCGCTGTCCATGGAGGAAGAAACATTCGTTGTGGTGGTGATTTGGAGTGTCATGGTGATAGTTGGTTGAGTTGTAGGGGTCTCTCATTGCTCGACTTGCCTGGATGCGGTAAGGTGCAGCACCATTCGCGGGAAGCCTCGATCGAGACAAATGGAATTCTTCATTCAACAGATCCTGATTCAGACATGGATACTACATAAGCCAGGAAGCCGTAGTGCACGGCGACGTGCCATGCATCTGTGACCTAATTGCATGCACCACAGAAATGTGGTGGAGACCCGTCCTGCGACTGTCCTGCCTTCCTTTGGACAAAACAGGAGAGCTTGATAACAACGGCATGTAGAATCTGGGCACTGCCTTGACTCCGACTGGATCCAAGCGAATGGATGAACTGGCTGTTGGTGACATGGTGCTCCCCTCTTCTATGTGTGTTGAGGTTGGAGGGAAGACCTTGACGCACATGCATACTTTTTCATCCACCCACAAGCTGACCAACCCTCTTAGGCTTGACCCAATAAGTTTTCTCATAATAAGTATTCCTTCCCTGTTTCAAGACTGTGGATAACTTGTACATTGGAGAAGTCAACACTTGGGAATCATGGAATCCGTTATGATGGCAACTGCCTTTGCTGCTCTCCTTTCTCGTGGCGTTGAAGTGGCCTTCAAGTTGTGTGGTCTGGCAGCCATTGTTTTTGGTTGGAGGGTGGATTGTTCTTGCCGCCAGGCACCCTGTTGGTTGCAGCAGCGAGATGGCTGCTGGAACAACCAACATGGATTAGAATGATCCGACCAATAAAGACCAGAAACTTGATTACAGTGATAGACTAGAAGAAACAGCCCACATGTTTGGATGGAGACCAAGAACGAGTCTCTATCGCTGTTGTCGCATCTGCCTCCTCCTGTTCATTCGTTGCGTGTACTTGGGATTGGGGTTCGTGTAATACGATCAAGAGAAGAAAGCCCCAGAAGAGAAGGCAGGCAAACTTTGGTAGAGCTACTGGCTACAAGAAGAAGAAGAAGATAGAGACGTCGACGTCTGTATGGAGTGCAAGATTCAGGATACAGGCTGCTCTCTGGCGTGAGCTCGGTGCGAGGAGGCAAAGAAGCCCCCAAGATTTCAACGATGCGATCAAAGGACCGTTGACAACAGAAAACTTTTCTCTCTCTATGCATTAATTTTTAATGAATCAATCTATGATACAGCCCAGTCCACTCCATGCATGGGCAGGCACCAGTAGCTCTCTCTCTCTCTATACGGTACGATCGATCGCCAAGAACTCAGATTAGCTAATTGAACAAATCCTTGCTTCGACTAATGGTAACAGAATCGCTGCCGCCGGTAATGGCAAGTTCGAATGGTTTGGAAAAGTTGGGAATGGTATCTTCATTCCAAAATTGTGGATTGTTGTATCGGTCATCGTTGTATTCCCCATAGGGCAACAACACTCGAAAGAGGCTGTGGACAATAACGTAGTATGTGACACCGGGGCTGGAATCCCAGGCAAACGTGGAACAATCGCGGGTATACGTATCTCCACCAATGCAATTATCGTTGTTGTCACCAGCAAAAACATGCAGCCGAGTACCGGGAAGACACACTTGTGCTTGGAGCGGACCACCCGTCCCCACAACCTTGTACCATAATCCTCGTGGGACACGATCTTCCGGTCCATCGTAGTACTGGCCGTAGAATTCCTTGTCGTCATAGCCACATTGACTTGAGAGCAAATCGTAGAGATTGAAACTTGCCGTCAAGGTATCCCCTTGCGCCGTGTCACCGACGGCCATTTGAACGGCCAGTTCCATGCGATCATTGTGTCCTTCCACAGACAGTGCAAAGTCTCCGACGCGATTGGAGAATCCGTGCACGAGAATGTAATAGTTCTGTCCCAGTTCGGATACCCAGTACGTGGAACTGGCGTAGCGGTGGACATTACAGTATCGTCCAGTCGAGTTGGTCCCATCGTCGTTGCCTGCCACACAAGACAAGGCGCCGCAACTACTTCCGGAAAAGACGGATAATTTGGAATCGAGTTCCGTATCTTCGCTGCAAGTGGAAATGGTCATGCGACTCCCCGTGCCGGTCACTGTATACCACACACCGGGACTGGTAATTTCCACACCACATCGTCCCACTGTCACATCCTTACTAGCTCCTCGCGTGGTGCCGTGGACAAAGAGATCGGGCAACGTTCCTGCCTTGACGGGAGCGACAATGGCCAAGGGACCTTGGGCATTGGCACACAAGTCATTGGGTGGAACGGGAGCAATGGGCGCCAGTGAAGGAGATGTGGACGGGACACCGGTGGGGCGGCTCGTGGGAGGAGCTGTAGCAGGTGGATCTGTGGGCGGAGGAGCAGATGTGGGAGAGTCGGTGGATGGCGCCATTGTTGCGTTGGTGCTTGTGGCATTCGAGTCTGTCAGAGTGTCAGTCGTTGGAGTAAAGGTGGGAGCCGCAGTGGCTAAGTTCATACAAGGAGAAAGGATTGGATAAGAAAAGAGAAAAAGTGAGATTTGGTATTCTTTTCTTTCGCATGAAACCTGACACTTGCTTACCATGAAGATTTCGAAACCCACCCGCCCCCACGTGTTCTGACTGCAAAGCCAACAAGGCATAGCCAAGAGACAGAACAGAGATCTTCATGGTGGGTATTGTAGTCTAACTATTATTCGTTGGGACAATTTAATTGTCGAGAGCTTCTTGTTACCCAAACAGATGATCGACGGTCACTGTTTTTGCGTCACAAAGAAGAAGAAAGAAAATAAATAAAGAATGAGAAAGCTGCGAATCCAAGTCTCGATCTTCTTCTTTTGGCCAAGATCAATCGTGGCAGATAGAGTTGGATGGCTACAACAGTCAGTAGGAAGTCTGCTATAGCTAAATCCGTACTGCACGAGGGCGGCACAACAGCTGACCTAAGTACCATCCCGAACACATGTTAGATTTAGACTGTGCTTCGGCGGTTGCCACCAGTCAGATCATCTAAAGCAAGGATAGTGCCTCAACAACGGCTCGTGCTCTCATGCTCACGTCATCATCATTCCGCAAAATATCGGAACAAAAAGCACTCGAGGCTTTCAGTTTTATTTGCCAGTGAGCCAAACCAGGCACGATTTTGTTGTCAGCCATGAACCATTCGCAACAATGCCATCATTGTTTATGAGAATGGCGTTCAGAGTTAATCTTACTGGAAGTCGCCCAAGAGCTTGCACGTTCTTCCGTTGATATTGGTGCGCAACCTCTCGGTTGGAGTATCGCACCTCTGGTTCACTTGTACACGTATGCCATACTGGTACTGGTACGGTAGCACCAATGGCATGAAGCGCACCTGCAACGTCGAACCTGAAGCTTGACGGAAGCCTCAGCGACAACACCATGACAAACTTGGGCCATCTCGCAGCCGCCAAACAGTCGGCAAAAGAAAAGAGGGCACAAGCTGTGCATGGCGATCTTAGCAACATTCACAACGACGCTGTCCCGCCCAGCAGGAGAGAGAAGGAAACGGTGAAGCATAGTTAATGGATACTACAATACGTTGCTCCTACGAGTACTATTGAGCGACGAGCTTTACGTCATTGTAACGACGAAGCAAAGGCCCACAACGGCATCGGCTAGAGTGGCATTCACACAAAAGCACAAGTCGGTTCCACCCAGCACGAGAGATACGGTACCCACTGTTGCTTGAGATACGAGGTTCACGTCGTTACAACGACGAAGGAAATGCCTACAACTTCATCGGCTAGAATCGTAGGAACCTCACTCAATGTATACTAGAACGATCCTCGCTCACGACGGACCCCTCCGAACACAAAACATCGTAATGATAAGGAATCGGCGTTCTACATGTAGAAGAAAATCCATTCCTCCACGTGGATTCGATTCCACCGCGGGTGCCGGTTCACCTATGGATGGCAGCTTGGCTGTCTTGACGTTCATTCCTCTCGTCAAGCAATCTACCATACGGTACAGTATTTCACCGGATGCTCTCTTTCGTGTATGAATCGGGCGTTGATTTGGAACTGCGAAACGACGAACGGTTCATCCCCGTGTGTCAGAACTTTGAAACTCATCTTTAGAAGCACATGCTAGCGGCAATCGACGATCTCTCTCAATCGGTCACGCGAAAAGCCCTTTTGAGAATGCGCTTCTGCTGTTCCAAGTGCAGACAACTCCCTTGAAGCTGCAACTCGGAAAGTAACCCCGTCGACACTGTCCTGGCTACTAGGTCGAAACAGAGGGAATCTTCGCGGGAACGAATGCTCCATGGTGCGGCAGGCGCAATCACACTACTATACCAGGATTTCAGTTGCATCCGAGTGCAGGCGACAACCCTGACGCTTTCCTATGAGGCATGTACACGGGAACGAATGCTCCAGACACAATCATACGGCGCCGGTGTGCCAGTTGAGTCGAGCATACGTCAGGGAAACCCGCATCTTATGTAGCGTGAAACGGATGAATCACATGCAGAGAGGCGAGCCTCCCAGTGATTGCTATCGGCAAATTGTCTCATTTCTTGTTCATTGAGCCGAACAAAACAGTGTGTTCGGTGACTTGTTTTGCCATCACTTCATTCATTCCATAGTTTCACAAGCAACCATGTCCAGTGCCTACAAACTCATGGGAAGTCTCGGGACAGAAGTCTCCCTTGCAACTTCTGTTGCAGCAGCATTGGATAATGAAACATTTCATGATGTGACATTGGTAGCCAGTGATGGTGTCCAAGTGCCTGCCAATCGAGTGTTGCTCGCAGTCCGAAGCAAGGTGTTGGAGACAATGTTGATGGGAAACTTCTCAGAGGCCACAAGCCCATCTATTGAGGTTAATTTTCCTGGAGCAGTTGTCAATGCAGTTGTTGAGTATATCTACACCAGCAACGTCAAGCTGCTTACAGAACTTAACCCAGACAAGGTGGAAAATGTGGAAGATGTGGAGGAAAAGGGTGACATCTCAGATCATGGTCAGGAGGAATTTCAAATGCTTATCTCCTTGACAGCAGCTGCGGCCTACTACAATCTCCCAAACTTATGTGACAGTGCTAACAACATCATGGAAACATATGTCAAAAAGTTTCCATCCATGTCCTTTGCTGTGTTGGAGGCATGTGCTCAGGAACACCCTGCTATATCCAACAATTTGCTTGAGATGGTCTTGTCCCACATCCGACAAAACAAGTTTGAGAGATTGAATGAAAGAGTTTTGAGTTCTTTGAGCTCCTCAGTTCTGTCGGTCATTCTCAGTGATGAAAACTCCAAGGTGCCAGAGTACAAGCGCTTTGAAATGGTTCAACTGTGGTCTGAAGGTGCTTCAAGTGACCAAGAGGAACGGCTAGCCTTTGCCAAAGACCTGGTGAAAGACCACTTGAAACTGCATTTGGTTTGTCCTGAAGTATTGGCCAACTCTGTTGCTCCATCTGGGCTTGTAGATATCAAACATCTGGCCGACGCTTACAAGCAGCAAGCTATAAAAGCAAAACGCAAATATGGAGTGTGCTTTGATGAAAAGGCAATGAGTATTGCAAAGCCAGTCTGGAGTGGAAGCAACACAGATACTTTCTCTGTGGCCTGTGGTTGGAAGAGTGACAAAATGACATGTCCCCCCCTTGTCAATGGATGCAAATATATGTGGGCCATTTGTACTTCTGGTAGCAAAGCTGCTGACTGTATTATGATTGGTGTGGCCAAACATTCTGCAACACTTAATATCAACAATTATTGTGGATGTCAGCCATCATGCTGGGCTGTCTATGGAGCCAATGGATATGCATATTACTCAGGAGCACAGAAAGAGTTCACTGGTGATGGTGCAAAATTTGGCAATGGGTCCCATGTCACAGTTACACTTGATCTTTCTCATGATGAAGCAAACAATGGCAGTTTCTCCATTTCTGTGAATGGTGCTGCTTCTGTTATTATCACCCGCAACATGAAGACACACCTTAACACTGATGGGTATGTTCCAGTGGTCTCATGCTATGGTGGAAATGGTGGAACTAGTGCAAAGATCCTCAGCATTGAGGAGGTGGTTTAGAAAACCCAGCTCCCTGTCCCATCGGAGCAACAACAAACAGCAAGAGGCACCAGTTATGTTCCCCTTCCAAGTTCCTGCATGATTTTGGAGCCCTATGGTTTCTGAATATTTTCAAAACGGGAACAACAGTAAAAGCATATAATCCAGCAGTTAGCGGCTACCGTAGCTATTCATGTTAGTTCCAATGTATGTAATGTAGGTTCCTGGATCTCTTCTTGAAGCACTCTTCCATGATTTCCACATTTTGATGCCTACAAGCAGCCAACCAGATTGGCACCAAACCACTCTCCATGGATCCTGCAAAGCCAAACCTTTTGGCCCCTGTAATGGCCCTCAATTTCTCGCCCCTGACCCTCCTATAGAACCTAGTCCTGAATTTTGACTCTTATTTGCTTAAGCCTGGCCCCGGCTGGCTTCCGGAGATAATGTACCTACTCTAAACCCCCGTTAACCAACTTCGGTACACAGCACGTGGTACCAGGTACCCCTTACCTACTAGCTAGGGGGGTTTAGTTTGCGAGGGGCCTATCGGTACTAGTAGAATATTATTATTATCTTAGAAAGATCCAAAGAGGTCATGAAGCACCGTCCTGTAGACCAACAGCCAACAAAATAGAAGACAACAATGGTGATATTAGAGTCCTACTGTAGACCAGCTAAGAGCCAACAAAAGTAGAAAATGACAACAATGGTGGTGATATTATTGGAGTGGATCCAAGCTCTCCTCCACGAGAGAATCGAGCAAGAAACACGAGAACCGGTCTTTCGCATTCCAGTACTCGAGTATGGATCTATTGGTCTGGTGCTTCCTCATCCAACTTTCTGGAAGCAAATGGTCGTGGTACGTCGTTATGTCTGTTTGGTGGCGCCTTGGCATTTGGTCCACTTTCTCTCTCTCACCATCGTCTCTTGTCTCGTTGGATGAATGGATGAAAACAGATACTCAGTATTCTCACTGCGATCAATGCTTTCACGGCTGTCACAGTCTATTACATGATTGTCCTGCAACGCGGATCCGCGTCCTCGTATCTGGTGGGATACGGTCTGATTTTTCCAATGCTCTTGTACGTTCCACTCCGTGCTGCACTCTTTCTAGGCGTACACAATACGGCCCAAGTCTGCGAACGGAGGCCGATGTGCAGTACGATGTAGACATGGGATGACACAAAAGAATAAGCTAAAAATTAAAAGGGGATTCTACGTCTACCTCGTTCTAGCGAGTCCCGGGAGGTTCACCTCGTGATTGCCAACCACCAGCTGGTTTTGGCTCCTCTCGCAAAGTCATTGGGATCTCGGCGTCTCTGACGGTGGTGGTCTTTCGGTGCATGATGGGTGAGTACAAGCAAGCAAGCAAGCACTACTAAGGCAGCTAGCTAGATGTCCAATTGGCTGACAACTCTTTGTATTCTTTTTGTTACCCGCTGCATTTATGAATGTACGGTAGCCATTCACAACACATTACCACCCTTGGTCGACCGTGATGTGTGGAGCTTTGTCAGTTACTACGTGTCCCCACTGCAGTTTCAGTTGGATACCACAACGGGGAAGGTGATTCCCTCGTCGCCCGAGAAATTTTCCCAATACGCCAGGACCACCTTGATGTCGTTGCTGTTTCTTGGTGTCTTTTTGGGCCTGATGATCCACGTCAATTTCGAGTTGGTTCCGAGGCAGCCAGTCCAGACGGTTTGGGACTTGTTTCAATGGCAAAATATAGTCAACAATTATGCCATGGGATGTACGTATAATATACGTCCTAGCTATAGCTGGGCTAGACACTGTGTTTGCTTTGGGCAACGGAAATGGCAACTGCGCAACTCACGCTTTGTTTGTTTTGGCTTTAGATTTGATGGGGAGATGTCTCGATGCTGGAACTCTGGCTGTGGGTGTCTTGCTGGAGGGTGCCAGTGGGAAAAGTGTCATCCTGGTCAGCAATAATCCCCTGACACAATCCACAAGTCCGTCTGACTTTTGGGGAAGGCGGTGGAATGAACTGGTCCACATTGTACTCAAGGTATGTATGTATGTGCCGGACTTATGCCGTCACAATGGGTGCAATCAGACCAGCATCACTCACATCACTCTTGCATCGGCTTTCTCGCTTTGCATACAGGGGGTGTCTACATTCCAATGAGAAAAAACGGATTTTCGCGGGGAATGGCAGGTTTGGCTACGTTTGCCGTCAGTGGCTTGTTTCACGAGTACATTCTCGTTGCCTTGACGATGATTGACGGGTTGGACTACACTCCCACCTACGGGAACCATTTGAATTTCTTCCTTTGGAATGCGGTTGTGATTATCTTGGAAAATCTACTGTCCAATCATCCTGTCATTCAATGGACGAGCAAAAACTTGCCGAGACCAATCATAACAGCCCTCGTGCTCTTGACTGGTGCGTCAGCATGCTTACTTGTGCCTGTCTGGCAACGGTGGGCCCATTCTGCTTTTCACTCATCTTTGCCATTGGCTTTCCTCCCTTTTAACAGCCTTGCCCATCAGTCACTGGTTCACGGATGAGTACTTGGAAATTGGCTTCTTCCATGACTTTAGCGTTGGTTTCCCATTCCTCGCTTGGTATCCATCCAAGGCGCAGTAGCTAGGAGCACTGGACTACTGGTAAGAAGTTCTGGTGCGCTCCTTACTGAAGCCCAGTGGTGCATGACGAAATTTGGAAAAGAACGAAACAACGAAATCGAAGTCTCGTTCGTGGCCACTGCTAGCAACGAAGTCCGTAGACCGGCGACAGTTGCATTGCACTTGCGGCCACGACAAAAACATGGCAAAAACAATTCACGCGCTCCACGTCTTGATGCACAATTGAAAAAGAGTCAAAGGCGATTGCATCCTCGCATCTATGATCAAAGAGCAAACGAAGTGGATCTTTGACTAGGAGCTGCGGACACGGTTACCAGCAAACGACGACGGAAGCCGACGAACGCGATATGAATGCCTCTCCTGGAGCCATAGGTAGAAGCAGAAGCAGACGAAGCTCAATGATGAGTCGAGTTCACCCACCATCAATACAGCAACGACCGCCATCAAGAGGAACTCGAATTTGCATGTTACGGAAGAAACGAGTGCTTACCCCGGCCGCTCTTGTCTTCCAAACCTGCTCCTGGATTAAAGTCGGCGTAATCCTTGTCTATACTTTGAGAGTCGTAACATCGAATAGGAAGATCGTGAGGGGGCTTTGCAGATCGGTCGAAACGCAGGTTGTGTCCTCGATCGAGTCTTTTGTGGATCTGCGGTTTGGGGCCATTCAAAGCATGACCATGAACACCACTGCCCCCAAGCCAACGTTGTCTCGTCCCAACAGCAAAACGGACATCCCACGTCCCACAAAAGACGCAAGCAAAGAAACTGATTGAGGCACGGAAAGCGTCGCCATCGGACGGCATCATATTGCCATTTCTTTGGCTCTTCGTCCACCCCCAGACAAGTCACAAGTCACATCAGCTGTAGCCTCTTTTGGTTCCAGTGGCACTACATCGTCTGCCACATGTCCTGCTTTTGATTCATTGGCATGGATCCCTGGTGGTGCCCTCAAAGCTTCCGGCCCTGCCAAGAAGGATGGTTCGAACTTGAATCAGCCATTTGACGGGCAAATCCATTCCAACAATTCGCCTGTCTGGCTTGTACGGAACAGTTCAAAGTATCCGTATGCAAACCATTTGAAGAGTCATCCCAGAGTCCCATCCCAAAGAATGACGCGAGGATAAGCGGTTGGACTAGATTCGCGAGATGCTTCCGAGGAGTGGCATGCAAGCTCTTGAGGTCAAAGCAAACAGTGGTCATCAAAATTGAAAGACCGAGAACGGGCTCCTTCGCAATGACAGCGCTAGCTAGAACTGTAGTCATGGTGGCGCCTTGAGACATTTGCGACTCCAGCACACAAATGTCAACGGGACCATTTATTTCTGAAGAGATATATGAACTCCTGGATTTGGAGCGTTTGGATGTGTGCCAAAGCAAGGTTGGTGGCACCATCAGCACAAAGATTGGTCAGCTTGCCAACAGGGCTATCGGTCTTCCATGCGATTTGATTCGCTTCCTTTCCACCGTCGAGAAGATCGCGACATTTCCATCCAAAGTTACGGTTGCGTTAGCTCTTCAAGCTGTTCTCTGCATTGGTGGTTGGTGGTAAGGGATCGAGCAGCCTTGGGTTCTTCGGTTGATAGTTTTATTCACCTCCATGGTGAAAACCAAGCTGGATGGTTGGTCGAGGCATGCTCTTCCGAAACTTGATAGCTCCAGTTGGCACTTGCAGCGTGTCAGGTTCCAACCCTCTACTAGCTAGCCAGTGAGAGCTTGCTAAAGTTTCAGTGCATCTGGAGGAATCTTCAAGCTTGGATCGCAGTGGACCACTTTCACTTTGGACAGCCCCAGCAACCGAGTACGAGCTAATCGACTGTCACTATTACCGGTAGTACCGTACATGAACGCAGGAGGCAAGTCGTACCCAAGATGCGCAAACGATGCAGCTGGTCCTTCGCTACAGCACCGTAAAAGTATGGCAACATGGCAACAATCTCTCATTCGATTGAAGATTGCATCGAAGCCATCATTCGATTCTCATTCCTTCCCAGACACACGCCTCCAAAAAATTACAGGCGCGTTAGTTCTTCAAGTTACGTACAGCGCTGGTACAGATACATAGTGTACGCATCCCCCAAGACCAGAGCATCTGTCACGGTCACAAACGCGTTTTTACTACAGCACCGGTAGCTAGCTACCTAGTCGTCCAACAACTGGGATGATGCCTCGCTCTACATGTACTATTAATAGAGCCATTAATAGAGTAGCTACTGCAGGCATATCTGTAGTAGTGCCACTTGGTCAAGCCAATCAATGCTTGCCAATGCTTGGCAAAACATCATAAGGTTATAAAAAGCTCACAACAAAACACCACCCAGCAGCAGATCAAAGAACGACGAGATCAATATCCCAGCAACACGTTCAACCGAGGACAACAATGATGTCTCGTGCCTATGAACTCATGGAAGGTGTGGATGCTGAAGTCTCCCTTGAGGCTGGCCTTTCCACTGTGTTAAAGGACCAAACATTTTCTGATGTGACTTTGGTGGCCAATGATGGCATCAAAGTACCCGCCCATCGGGTGATTCTCTGTGCTCGAAGCAAGGTTTTCAAGACCATGTTAACTGGAAGCTTCTCTGAGAACTCCAGTCCTACCATTGAGGTTGATTTTCCCGGAGCAGTTGTCAATGCAGTTGTCGAGCACATCTACACCAATGAAGTCAAGCTCTTGAAGAATGTACCCGCAAAGGTGGATGAATTCCAAGTTCTAGTCTCCTTGACAGCAGCTGCAGCATACTACAACCTTCCAAAGCTATGTCACAGAGTCAACAGCTGCATGCAAGATTGTGTTACGAGAATGCCATCATTGTCCTTTGCTGTCATGGAGGCTTGTGCTCAGGAGGGCCCAGCTATATCCAAGGATGTGTTCCAGGCGGCCTTGTCCATCATCTACCAGAAATTGGATGTGGAACGATCAAGCGAGAGTTTGAATGAAGATGTTCTGTGTTCTTTGAGCTCATCCGTGCTGGGACAGGTTCTCAGGGATGAGGATCCTCCATTTCTACTACAAGAGTTCACGCGGTTTCAAATGGTCCAGCGTTGGTCAAAGAAAGAAGCAAACCGCCAAGAGGCTGCCAAAGCAATGGTGAAAGAGCACATAAAGCTACATTGGATCAAACCTGAGGAGTTGGCTGACTCTGTTGCTCCTTCTGGTCTGACAGACATTGTCCAACTGGCAGAAGCATACAGGGTACAAGCGGTAAATGCAAAATACCGGTTGCCCTTTGGGAAGTATCTCTCCCATCCAATCTGGTGTGAAAGTAATTCAGATACATGCTCTCCCCGGCAGCCAAATGAAGGCTCTTGGAAAACGGACAAACTGAAATACTGTCGGCTTCTCGATGGTCACAAATACCAGTGGATTATTACTGCCGATACACTTGGTGGCGCAGAATCCAGTGATGGTAACAATGCTGCTTCCGGAACAAGCCCAGCTCCTTTTGGGACAGCAGCACCCGCGTTTGGGGCATCACCCCCGTTTGGAGGTCCCGCCAACAATTCTCCTTTCGGGTCACCTCCACCCACTGGTGGTTTTGGTAGTACGAGCCCACCCCCCTTTGGAGCCCCAGCACCCGGGTTTGGAGGCAGCGGAGGGCGAGGTCCCGCCAACAATTCTCCTTTCGGGTCACCTCCACCCACTGGTGGTTTTGGTAGTCCAAGCCCACCCCCCTTTGGAGCCCCAGCAACAGGGTTTGGAGACAGCGGAGGGCGAGGTAGAGGAGGGCGAGGTAGAGGAGGGCGAGGTAGAGGAGGGCGAGGTATTAATAGAGGGCAAAATCGCAATGGTGTTGTTGTTGGAGTGGCAAAATCGTCTGCAACGTTGGATATTTGCAAGAATTGTGGAGAACAGCCTTCCTGCTTTGGTATGGGTGGAGTATCAGGCCATATTTATCGCGATGGACTAGCCAACACTGGTGGCATGTGTCTTGGATCTGGGCAACACAAACTCCATTTTACTCTTGATCTTTCTCCAGAGGAGGTAAACAATGGCAGACTCTCCATATCTGTGGATGACGGCGTTCCCTTGACTATTGCTGATGGCCTAAAAGGCTCCCTGCTTTTCGACGTTGAAGGCTTCGTTCCTGTTGTATCTTGCTATGCACAATCAAGTGCAACCATCGTGTGCTTCATGGAGGCGCTGTAAACTCAACGCAAATTGTAAGGGCGGTGTCAATCCGCACCTCTCTTACCAAAGTGGTGTCAATAAGCACCTATGGAAATTCGACTTATTTTCAAAAGGTAAGCTGAGAATCGCATTTTGGTTTCACTTCTCTCAAACACTGCTCCCGAACACTTCTCCTGAAAACCTTCCCCGAACACTTATTTTAGTGTTGTATTAGGATTCCCTCTGAAGTATCAGTGGACAGTCTTTTAGTATTTTGCAGAGAATTTTCGTTGACAATTTTTGTACCTGCGCACCGTACCGCACCGCACCACACTGTACGATCAAAATGCAAGCTGAGAATCGCATTCCTCTGCAAATTTATTTGGTTTCACTTCTCTCAAATTCTGCTCCCGAACACTTTTCCTGAACACATCCCCCAAACCCTATATTACTTCTGAATTATCAGTGGACAGTCTTTTAGTACCCTGTATCTTGCAGAGAATTTTCGTTGACAATTTTTGTACCTGCACATCGTACCGTACCACAACGCAACGCACCGTACCGCACCGTACGAATTAAAAGCTTAGAGATCAGGCATTCAAGGAATGCGATATTAATACAGTTAACACTCACTTAAGTTCCGTTTTCTTAAGTTCCATTACTCTACAAAGTTCCTCTTTTTCAGGGCTGCCCCCTTCAGTCACTAGTTCTCATGACTGAATGTAACTGACTAGTGGATGGGTCTTGTGGCTCTTTGAGACTGTGCTGGAAGTTAGGACCCAGCATCTAGATTGGTCATTTATACATATCCGAAGTTTCTTCATCTACCGGTATACCTTCATGTCAGGCATCCTAGCTAGAGATTTCAACACAAGCGAAATAGTACATGTACTAGTCGTAGACGACAAAGATACCATATGTAAGAGCAAAGCAATTCCACCGCATTGAAGATTACTCCTTTTACCCCAACAACAACAAAAGAATGCAAAGCAGGTTGATTTACTATAATGGTGTTAGATTCACTAAGCTCTCTAGTTTACCGATGGGGCACAGGATGATTGCTCTTGGTACGAATTGGATGGCAGATGTACTACGTTTGGAGGCTCGGACATGGTGGCTAGTGCCGTTGATGGTACAACCGCCAACGAAGCCTGCTGCGTCTGCGGTGGTGGAAGTTCTGGTTCTACCGAGGCTGTGGCGGCAGCCGAGGCAAAATCCGCCCAAACGAAGAAGAAGACGAAAGGCTGGTTGGATTGGCTCCCTGGCGGGTTTGAGCCCTGATGATCAGAGTGTCGGTTTTGAATTGCTTGTTACATACATACGTGAAAGTGTCCTATCCATAAGTTAGTTGTACCGGTACACGCACTACTGCAAGAAGAAGCCAGGCGAACGTAGTCCGCCTCGATCGTCGTTTAGGTGTACCGTAGTCAGTCAGTCAGTCAATCTCCGTAGAGTGTACTTTACGAGCAGAGAGTCATTTTACGAATGAATCAGAATCGAATGTCATCTTCTGCTCGTTGTTAGTTGCTCTAAGCTCTCTTCTAGTTGTTACTGTTGCTATTGAGATACTACTGAAAAAGTGGGTGGGCTACCAGTTTTGCTACTGGTGTGAAATTCTAGTACAGAGGTACATGTTGAATCCCTAATCGCGATTCCCCAACACGCACACTCGTGTGGTCGTCGAGCTTGTCCTAGTCGTCGACCATGCTTACTTACTTACTCTGCTTAGCGCTCCTTCTTTGAACGGACCTTCTTGTTTGGCCGTGACCCTCCTACTGAGTGCCCTGGCTCTGAGTGTTCCACTACACCCATCAACTTGTCCACATTCTGTTTGAACAGTCGACCTTGGTTCGGCTTCGTCCAGAACTCCGCAACCATATCATCAGTTGGACACCAGTCCACACTGATCTCCTTCTTTGCGACTCTGTCGCTCACAAAGAAGTACCTAATGTTGATGTGCTTCGTTCGTTTACTACTAGAAGCTTTGCCATTCTTTTCTAGAAGTATGGCAATCTTGTTGTCCTGATAGACTATAGTTTCTTTAACTACATAACCTTGCTCCCATAGGAACTGCCTCGTCCAAAGGATCGATAGCATCAGGTCATCAACTGCTACGAGTTCGCTCTCAGTCGAGCTTCTCGTGTTCAACTTCTGTTTCTTCGAAGTCGATAATGGGTAACCGGTGCCCATGGTCAAACCACCTCCGGTATGACCCCCATGTTTGGATGGACTGTGAAAAAACCATCAACATACCATTTTAATATGCCGCTTCCGTCGGCTTTGAGAACTAATGATAGTTTTCTAGTACGCCTAATGTACTGTATGAGGTGGACTAGTTTATCCCAATCCTGCCTATCCGGTTCCTTGACTCTAGTCGTGAGGAACGATATCGCCGTACCTGTGTCTGGTCGGGCTCTCTTCGTAGCGAACAACACCTTAGCCACCAGGCTGTGAAAGGCGTCTGCTTTGCTTGTTGGGAGCTTCTTGCAGGATTCGTCTACTGTGAATAGGTCTTTCGGAGCTGCACTACTTCTAGTCTTCGTGCCCCCTTCATCTGGTGCTGCCTTCTCGAAGGCTTCCAGGATTTTGTCAACGTACTTGTACATTGGCACATTGCATTGACCCTTTGTCGTGAAGTCTATGGCCATGCCTAGATACGTGTTGACCTTTCCTCGGCTCACCGTCATCTCTCCAATGCCGTCCTCAAATATGCTTTCATATTCATCATGAAGCACTTGGATCAGCTGGTTGTTCACCTTCGAATCCTTGTGGCTGAGCTTACAGTCGTCTACATGCCAGCAGACTGTCTGTTGCTTGCCGTGTACCATTCTGTTGGCTACACATGGATCGTAGGGATTAATTGTAAATCCGTTCCGGAGCATCGTCTTCCGGAACTTGCGGTAGTATAGTAGACTGGCTACCATGGTACCATAGATGGCGTTCAAGCATTGCAGTAGCAACTGCTTGTTGCCTCTCTTATCCGTTGTCACGAACGGTTTGTAGACATCTGGGGCAATTTTAACCAGCATGTCTACTAGTACTCCTCTTACTCTAATGATTACCATATCTTTTTCATCCTCGACTCGTGTCTGGATAAAGGCATTCAGGATGTCAATGACTGCAACGTCCCTTTCCACTTCAGCGTCGATTATGCAGGAGAGTAGAACTGGACGAAGGCGTTCGGGATGTCAATGACTGCAACGTCCCTTTCCTCTTCAGCATCGATTATGCAGGAGAGTAGTACTGCTTCTGTCGACACTGTTGGCGAGCTTGCGTCTTCCTTGGAGATGAAGTCACGCTGTTTGTTGCCTCCGGCAACCGCTCGGCCTTTGATCTTCCTGTCCCGTTTCAACTTTAGGAACAGGTTTGACTCTAGGATACTCTTGCGTTCCTTTTCGCTTAGTTCTTCCATTTCTTTGGACGGAAGGTGTCCCTGAGATGTAACTGTTTCATCTCGGCAAAGGCTGCATCGTGCGTTTTGTCCTTCCACTCCTTGAGCCCAGCCTTCAATGACAACTGTGTCATGATGGCTGCTACCACATAAGGCTCTTCCTCTACCTGTGTATAGAACATGTGTGCATCTGGGTGCAAAACACGTTCATTCGTATGGACGTTGGTCGTCTCATACTTCTTTCCGGAGAAGCTAGGAATATACGATTCCTTTGCTTGTGTCCCCATCCTACTGGGCCTGTGCACTTCTGGCGTCTGCTCAGGTGCCACTTGGGCTCGAACACCTACTCCTGGGGTCTGTTCCATGGGCTGTTGGTCTGTTGTAGGTTCCGGTTCCTCTACCGTCTCAACGATAGGCTAATTGGCTGGTTCGACAGTGAAAGCGTTACAGTTCCTCCCACGACTCAGAGTATCGGTGAGTAGATTGAGTCATGCTTTATGAGTCAACACGATGGAACAGAGAACGCTGGCAAGAACACGTTCTCAACGAAACCAAAGGACACGGCAAACTGGAGTATTCGACAGGAGTAAAGCATCCTGCCAACGAACGGTTTCCCGCAGATACCACGTTGACTTCCGTATGAATCAAGATCAACTACCACGATGCATTGATCTAACACGCTACGAACTAGCTTTACTGATCGCATCAATCAAAGCTCACAACACAGATTATGAATTACTAAGAAGCGAACTTTGCATTTACTTTGCACTCGTCTTGAATAGTTGCAGCTGATCTCGTTGGGTGGTAGCTACCTCTACAAGATCCCTCTATTCAAGTAGTATTTCCTCACGTTAGCAGATTAACTAGTCGCAGTTACGCACTGCCACACCTCCATCAAGATGGCCGATGAACCAGCCAGGCTCAAGCATGTCCTATGCAACCTATGCGGCGAAGACGCTTCCAACACAGGGTACAATGCATCTCACATGCGCATCGCACTGTCTGAACAAGGAATCGATGGATGGATGGATCTCCTCCTTTTCACCAAAGATGAAGTTATGGAGCTCCAAGCTTCCAACGACACCAACAGCGCTCCAAGACCAGTACCTCTCACCAGGAAGAAGCTACTGCTCGCGGCGATACAGATGTATCACCATTGGTCGTTCAAGAAGAAAGCACCCGTCCGCATCGTATCACTGACGGCCACCGCGCTCGACGCTTTCAGAGTTGGACTCTTCCAGCCACACGGCGAAATCGTCCCATGGCGGCAAATGAGACGTAGCGATGCCACGATGACCGATGGGGAGCGTGCAATCGCACTTTGGGACAAGAACAACAAGCCCGTCCGCTCGGAGTTCAGAGAGTTTCGCGACGAATCAGCCTTCATCAAATGGAGGAAGAACTTCCTCAACACGCTCAAGTCTCAAGGTCTCTCCCACCTCATTGATTCTGACTTCACGGTCACCAACGTCGAACTAGACGAGAAACAACGAGAATGGATGTACAAGACCTTCGAAGACATCTTCCAAGAAGCACAGGCGCGATCTGTCGTCCTTGCCAACGAAACCAACAAGGACACTCGTGCGATCTGGAAGGCAATTGACGAATATTACTCCAAGTCCATGGTCGCAACCCTGCGCTCGGATAAGATTTCGTGTTATCTCACCTCCGCTGATATCGCAGAAGGTGTATGGAGAGGGTCCCAAGCTGGTTTCATCTCCAACTTCCTCGAACAATTTCGGCAGTACAATGAGATCAGCGACGAGCCATACACTGACCAGCAGGGAGCACGTTTCTTGGAACGCTCAATCTCCAAGGCACCAAATCTCGCTCCCGTACGACGTCTCGCACTGCAAACCAAGAAAGCCGCAGGAGACACCTCCCAGTATACACTCGAGCAATACCGAGCAGCCCTTCTCGAGCAAGCACAACTGCATGACAGTGCAAATCATGCAACGTCCACACGCTCTCGAAGCAATGCTCGTCGCCGCACCTACCAACACGAAATTCTCTTCGATGATGGTACAGCGGAAACCTGTGACAACGCCTATGAGGCGTTCGTCCACGATATGGATACACCAGTGGAGGTCCAGACACTCGTGGTCCGCGCAAGGTCATGATGAACGCAACCACATGGCGGTCGTTATCCAAGTCGGATCAAGAGGCATGGGATAATATCTCTGAGCAAGAAGAGCATCCTTGACTACACGGCTGACTTAGCTGTTCGACGTAGTCAACACAACTCTGGGCAATCACGCCCATCCCGCTCAGTCAACTCCCATGACTTCCTCGACGTGGGCAACACCACGCCACGAGCAGGCAACCTAGAAGTGTCCTCGCACCAAACCAAGTCCAACAAGATGGACACCGACCTGTTGCAGCTCGCGTGCAACAAGACGCATTCAACGCCACCGTCCTTCGCTGGTGACATCGCGTCCGTCCTATCACAGCCGGCCAATACGGCTACACGTGAGGTACGAGTTCACGAGGTTGATCGCTCATCCTACGAGTCCTACTCCCACGAAATGTTGTTCAGCGAGCCAGAGATTGATCCCAACTGGCAGCCCTTTGTATATCTCTCTGATGGATCCGAGGACAACCAAACACAAACCACTCGTGAGACTACGACGACGCCGGTGGACCTCCTCGACGTACCCAACGAAGCGGATCCTCCAATGCCCGCACTCGACGATGGAGAAACAATCTTCCCACCCAGTGATCAGGATTTCTCACAGTTTGCTTACGGTACCTCCCAATACGAGGCTATTGACTGTGCAGGGTCCCCTCTCTGAGCCCAATTCCAAGTACAGTTGGATCCTGGTTGAGGTCCCCTTTCTGGGCCTATCATTGCTGGCTGAATGGATGTCAATGGTCTTCGGTTCGATTCCAGATTCCAGCGAGCCCACCATCATGATGACTGTTTATTAAATGAAGCAAACGTCCGAAGAACACAACATTACATATGCAAAAGAGGGGGTATGGCAAGAAAGGTATATTTTCATTAAATACCAAGTCTGCTCCCCCCCACCTGACGCATGTCTACAAGACACTATATATGTCAGCAATGGTGTCAGGTAACGAGATCTGATTCAAACCACATGACGGTTAGTGACCCGTGGAACCGGGAGTGTTTTTTTCCTTCTGATTCAAATTTGACCCGACCCCATTATTCCCAGATCTCTTTGCTGCTTTTTTCTTTCTCCTCGCTTCTCTGGGCCTCGGCTTGAACCACCTCTGTTTTTTCTTTGTGTGGTGGCCCATGCCTGGGTGGTGGTCAGGAGAGTCCATTCCCAGACTCAATCACGAGTCTGTGTCATGTCTCTCCTGGGGCTCTGTTCTGACCAGCTCAAGCGTTGGTGGCTCTCCCCTCAGTCTCGCGGGACTGAGAGACAGCCAACAACCAACCAGCTTTGCCCCAGACACATGCTTTCACACTTCCGACCGAAGAAGGTAGGAGTCCGTCGCCCGAAGGGAATCGCGAAGCGATTCGGCCTACAACACCAAGACGTTCGTTTACATTGCAACTTGCGGCCGTTGTTCGGCGCTTGCAACATCGAAGCAACCGCAAAACTTCATTATGTTCTCAGTGCCGTATCTAATCCACTATTTCCTGTGATGATTGATTATTAATATTACGAAACTATTATCTGGTAAGGTAACTTACTTATGTATGTAGCAGTAAAGTGTGGTTGAGCGGCTGGGAATTTGCACATTCTGTTCGTATTGCACCAAGTTCCTTCTCTTTGGCATCTCTCCTAGCTAGCCAGGTCAGCCGGCCTGCAGAAGAAATCTTGCGCTGTACAGAGCTTTCTTGGGTGCCTTGACGACAACAAATGGACTCATCGCTGTGGGTGCCATTTTGCTTTCTTGTCAGACAATTGTCCTAATCCTTCTTGACTGGCACCATGAGTTGGGTCGGTACGCCACTGGCATTCGTTGTCGTTGCTGCGGCCGCTGGTTTACCATTTTGCAGCAACAATTGCGGTCCAAACTGAGCCGCCCATCCAATAGTGGCCGATGGGACAAAATCAGTAAACGGCAAGATTTCTTCGGCAAAACTGAGATATTTCAAATGCGGTGTGGTCGTATCGTACATGGCGATGATCAAACAAGTCTGCAACGGTGCCCATGCCACATCCGTGACTTCTCCCACCACGGGAACCAGATACGAGGCAGATCCAATGGCATCGACGGCCAAACTGACGGCGAGTCGTCCCCACATGCCTTGTGGTAGCACGACGCGGGCGACACTGACGGGACTTGGTCGCGGACCAGTTTCGTACAATAAGGATTGTCCCGATTGGGTGGCAAGCATATGTTGGGCGGCCGGTTCCAGCATGTGGGCGACATGTTGCCGTCCACCACTGGTGCTCCCATACAACACCAATCCAGTGCCCGTCAAGCAGGCGCCCACTGTCAAGAGGGCCGCCAAGACGGGCACAAAAATGGGCAAGAAAACGACACAGAGTCCCGTCAAAATGGGTGTCAAGACGACCGCAGCCGTGGCCATGGGCACGGCAGGAATGAGCAAGAGTCCTTTATTGGCGGGCAAATTGGGAGTTTTTTCTCCCAACGTAATGACACTGGATTCGACTTGATCCATAAAGCCAAACCATGTCTGAGCGACGCCGAGAAGAGCCGCAATTTCGGGTCGATAAGGGCCTCGCAATTGGACCTTGATGCGAATGGTGGGTGGCAAATCTTCCATCAAACCACTATTCGAATCCGGCAACGACGATGCCGCATCGGTAGTAGCGACTTGAGTGGCTTGAGCGGCTTGTTCCAAGTCGAGTACCAACCAGGTAGATTCCCAAACATTCAATTGACTCATTTTGTAGGACGCAAACAAGTTGAGCCACGGTTTGGTTTCGTAGACGACTTCCACTTGAAAATGGCTCTTGTAGAGTTGCTCTAGTGTTTTGGCTTTGAGTACCAGATCCGTACTGGTGGCACCCGTGAATTTGAAACTGTTGCGATCCTTGTGACGGGACGTGGGAGCGGCCGTTGTGACGGTGGCCCCACAGGCACTGATACTGACATGGGAGGGTTGATCGCGGGTGGGCAAATCGTAGACACTCAGGACGGATGCTCGCAATTCTCCTCCTTTCATTTGATTATTTGTAGAAGACGTAAATCCAGGCTTGGTCTTGGTCGTCTTGCTACCGCCGCCGCCTGGAGTACTGCTAGTTGTCGATCCAGTAGTAGACATCTTGGGCTGCTCGGAGGTGGAAATAGATGCTGCTTGCATGCTACCCTTGTCGTTCGATATCTTTTTAAATTAATTAATTAATTTGTTGTTAGAGGATACCCTTTTGGTTTTAAGTTGGATAACCGAATATGATGGCTGAATCTCTTGCTTGCTATTGCTGCTGCTGCTGCTACCCTGAAATAAATAAATGTCGTCGTCATCTCGATGACGGGATCTCTTGCGGGAGGGTGGCTGTTGGTTGTTGTCCTCATCCTTCCCAAGAAGGCCAAAGATACGATACCCTTTGGAGTTCGCGATTTCAATTGGATCGTGGATCTTGACGTGGACCAATCAAAGCAGCATGCTGAGGAGATGGAAACTCCATTATCTCTGCAGCCTTCTTAGCGGTCCGAACACTGACTGTAACCGACCCCAACACAGCCTTGGCTGCACATTTGACCCTCCAGCAGATGCCGACGGCAAACCGACCGTGCTAGCGTGGACCTGGTGCAGCTCTCACTGCTCTCATCGGAAAATATCTGGCTCCTAGCTAGCTACTAGGAATAGTTTCGTGCTGTCTCTATCTGGTAGCTATAATAGTCAATCGGCTTGTTGATCATGTCTTCTGATACCGGTAGCATTGGTACTGGCGCTAGTACTGGCGGTGCTGATGCCGCTGCTATTGGCAGTGCCATCAACAATAAGAAACAGAAGATGTCTCCTCCCATCGAATCTCTTCTGTTGGACAAGAATGAGATTTGGATCCAAGGCATTCTTCCCCTTGTTGGTGTTGGACAGTACGCTTTTGTAGGAGCTGTCAACAAGAAGATGAATCAACTGTACAAAGAATACTGCAAAATTGAACTCGAGAAAAATCCTCGAAAGGTAAAAGATGGCCCGCCTTTGTTGGCTTCCAGACGCTCTGCAGAAATCACCGACACTCTTTACAGCGAAACATTCTGTAACCTGCCACGTGCAGAATACTGGCTCAAGGACAATTCCAGCCGCAAAAACCCTAGTCGCCATCTTGTTTGCAATGCAATTGCCATAGTTGGAAATCTGACTGTCATGCAATGGGCACGCCAGCAAGGATTTCCATGGCATGAGTACACATCTATCAAGGCTGCTAAACATGGACATTTGGAAATGCTCCAATGGTTAAGAGAGAACGGTTGTCCATGGGATCGTCAAACATGCAAGGCTGCTGCTAAATTTGGACACTTGGAAATTCTAAAGTGGGCCCATGAAAATGGTTGTCCATGGAATGAAAAGATTTGTGAATATGCTGCTATAAATGGACATTTTGAGATTTTAAAGTGGGCTCGTGAAAATGGCTGTCCATGGAATGAACAGACATGTGCCGGTGCTGCTCGACGAGGACAGTTGGAAATTCTGAAGTGGGCACGTGCAAATGGTTGTCCATGGAATGAAAAGACATGTGAATATGCTGCTGAAGGTGGACGTTTGGAAGTTTTAAAGTGGGCACGTGCAAATGGTTGTCCATGGGATCGTCAAACATGTGAGGCTGCTGCTAAATTTGGACACTTGGAAATTCTAAAGTGGGCCCGTGAAAATGTGTCCTGGAATGCGTGGACATGTATGTATGCTCTATAAATGGACATTTGGAATTCTAAAGTGGGCTCGTGAAAATGGTTGTCCGTGGAATGCGTGACATGTATGTATGCTGCTCGATATGGACATTTGGGAATTCTAAAGTGGGCTCGTGAAAATGGGTGTCCATGGAATGAAAAGACATGTGCCTATGCTGCTCGATATGGACAGTTGGAAGTTTTGAAGTGGCTCGTGAAAATGGGTGTCCATGGAATGAAACATGTGCATGTGCTGCTCAAGTTGGACTTTGGAATTCTGAAGTGGGCCGTGAAATGGTTGTCCATGGAATGAGTTACATGTGAATGTGCTGCTCTAAATGGACATTTGGAAATTTTAAAGTGGGCTCGTGAAAATGGCTGTCCATGGAATGAACAGACATGTGCGGGTGCTGCTCGACGAGGACAGTTGGAAATTCTGAAGTGGGCACGTGCAAATGGTTGTCCATGGGATGAAGAGAACATGTGCCGAGGTGCTGCTGGACGAGGACAGTTGGAAATTCTGAAGTGGGCACGTGCAAATGGTTGTCCATGGGATGAAGAGACATGTTCCTTGGCTGCTCAAGTTGGACGTTTGGATATTTTGAAGTGGGCACGTGCAAATGGTTGTCCATGGAATGAAAAGACATGTGAATATGCTGCTCAAGGTGGACATTTGGAAATTCTGAAGTGGGCTCGTGAAAATGGTTGTCCATGGAATGAACGTACATGGTGGTATGCCACAACTGGCTACAGCAGAAACAAAACTGAAGTGATTCTGTGGCTACGCGACAATGGCTGCCCTGGGTCTCATGATGAAGGACACTGATGATATGGCTGGTTAGAAGTAGAGGGCAAGTTAGGCATGGAATCAAAAGTAGACAATGCTCTTTTCCCACTTCTAAGAAAATTGCCCTTGTTAACGCCACTCATGTTTTGTCTTGGTGGACCCCCCCCCCTTGTCAATGGGTTTTCGTCCTGTACTGTAGTTGAATAGCAGTATCGGTAACTGCCTACGGTACCATAGTCTCGGTGAGCAGTTTGTTGGAGGTGCACGGGAGCTTGCTCCTTGTAACAGGTCGGAGGAGAAGCCTTTCCATTTCAGCCATGCGTAAAGCGATGCCAGTATCTTAAAAAAAATAGGGAGCCAGTTCGCTTTGGATTTCTCTGTGGGAGCAACTAGACTAGACTACATGGCTGCATCGGCAGCCAACCGGCCTACAACCCCCGGCATTTAACAGCTAGCTAGCTACTAGTAGGTGCCGGCCATCTCGGTCTTACGGTACGCAGAGGAGGCCAAGGGCAAACATCGTCGACGGTCAAAGCTACGACTGTACATACCGGGACCAAGTCTGTCTTGGTTTGGTGTTTCTTGGTGGTACCCACGGCGAACGCTGCCAATTGGGACCGATAAGGGTATCCATCCAGTCAGCTATATAGTTCAAGGTAATGGAATGTCTTTTTTTGAGTTACGGTTTCTATGGGTCTAATAATAATAATAATAATATCATCGGAACATTTTCACCAGCCAGCAGTCGCAAGACAAAGAGAGACTACGGAGCCGGCGTTTGCGTGGCAAATGATCGTTGGTGGTGGTGTTGTTGTTGTTGTCGTCTACTTTTGAGTTTTCCATGTTGTGCATCTCGGAATTGTTTCCATTTCAAGACGGGTGCCAATGTCTTGTCAAAATCGAGTGCTTTCTTGACGAGTTCGACACTCTTGAACGAGTTTCCCTGTTGCATTTCAAAGAGTGCATATGCCTGTAGCACCTTGGCGGAACAGGCACATTCGGTATCGCCTTCTCGTTCCAGTACGGCAATGCGAAAGAATTGCAAAAAGACAGATCGTGTTTTCTTTGGATCACCCATGCGTTTGGTGAGTAACGCCAGTAACAGTGTGGTGACGGCCAATTTGGCGTGATCGCATTCTTGTTCATCCGTGTTGTGCAGAATTTCTTCAATGATTTTGCGATAGAGGGTTTCTGCCTGTGTGAATTTTCCATCCTTGACCTTGCGAATGGCAAAGTAGTGTTTCTTGGCCAACAAGACAAATTCTTCTTGATACTGAGGAGTGTCAACAACAACATCCGGCAACTGTCCAATAGTGCGACGACGTTCTTCTCGCATCACCTTGCTGTAGTATGACACCGAACGTTCAATCCAATCTTGACGTGCTTGTTCGTGTTTACGGGGAGACGCTTCTTCACTCATACTGTTAGTAGTAGTAGTAATGGCAGACATGGTGGTGGTGGTGGGCGAAATGAGGGGTGCCATGCCAATGACACTCGGCTTATTGGTACTCATACTACTGGTACCAGTGGTGGGAGCAAATGCCATGGAACCACAAAAATGGCTGGACAACACAACCAGAGCCATTAGCAGGCAGGGAATAGAGGAGAGATGGAGCGGCATGGTAGTGTGGTTGGTTTGCCAAAGTAGAGTCGGAATTTGTATTTTTTTTTATGACAGTAATGATGTCTCCTCTGTTGGCTTCTTCTCGATCGCTCGGCAAGGAAAGAAGCAAGAACAGAAAATCGTCCAAAAGAAGCCAATGCAGCTGACAGCCATGGATCCTTCGGAGGAAGCAGAAGCGTGTCAAATGGACACCTTCTGTCTCAACCCTTCGGAATTCTGAATTCTGATTCGTTCCGGGCATCTGGGCCGCGTCACACCTACAACTTCGTGCCAGCTGCGACTCACTTGTTGCTCGTGGTGGACCCGCTCCACACGTCTCGACACACTCGGGCAGCACACTCGATCATGCATGCATGCGAGCAGTAATGAGGTGGCTTTTGTCATGCATGTACAGTACAGCCACACAGCAAAAGACTTGCATGGTCTGTGACTGTACAAGACTTGTGTGCGCGTTGCTTGCCAGGGCTCTGTGACTGGGCGACTTCAATGCATGGATGTCTTTTTGAAGTCTCGCTCATCAGATCAAAGGTGTTGAAGTCTTGTTCAGCCACATACGTGCGTATCGGGCTGGCTGCAGGCCATACACTAGCTAGCCGAGATATCATTCAAGGGCGATGACTGGCACGGTGCTCGGGTCGATTTCCGAACTCCAAGGCTCGAGCTGGAACGGGCCGGGGTGTGGGGTGTGCTGCTATTGGTGCCCGCACCTCGGTGCACCAAACACAAGCATCTTGCTTCGCATCATGACAGCCAACGAGCGACCGCCCCCCCGAAGTGATATCCTTGCCAGTTGTTGTCCCGCAGCAAAAAGTCGAATCGAGCGTGCGAGGCCGGTTGCCAATTCTTATCAATCCGAACATGGGCAATCTTCACAGCTCTCGAAGGTATCTAGACGTCCCTACCGGTACCGTGCACCAGTCGTTTGATAGCTAGACGTCTTTTTGCCACGACGTGAAACTTCCACAATGGGAGGAATCAAATCGACGACGAAGTAGCCATGACCCTGGTAGGAACAGCAGATTGATTCTAGCTGAGACTATATATTGGACTTCGAGGGTGGATGCTGCTATCTCCGCTCGATGACAGCAACTGTCTTATCCTCTGGGATGATGTCTTCTATGAACAGGGTTGGCATCCACCCAGTTCGTGTTTCTACGGTTGACCAATAGAATACAGCGTCCAACGCTCCTACATTCATCGAGCAAGGCAGGATAAGACATCCGAAACTCGGCACCAGGTCGATTACATTCGAGCAGCTATAGACGGATGGCGTTCAGTATCCGCATCTCGCCTCTGCTTGAGTTCCTCATTGTTTATAGTCTAGCTAGCTAGCAGTCATGGTACCTAGCATGCATCGTGGAGAAAAAGCCTGGTTGGGTCGATTCTTTAGTTCTGGCATGGCCCATGGGAATTAGTGTATGTATCACTCATCCCGAACGGCCATGCCACGACACCAACACTGATCCTTCTCTCACAACGTCGCTGCGCCCATGCAGTCTATTCGATTCTCTTCTTCAACCCCAGTGCATCAGTAGCATCCGCCCAAGGCAGCTGAGTTCCTTCGTTGATTGTTGCTTCTCATAATGCAGACCTCGATTCTTTAGTTTTGGCGTGACCAGGGAAATGAAACATTTCCGCCAAAGTCGTGCCACAAAGCCATGCATATGTCTGTTTCGTTCATTGATTCTGAACCTACCGGCGCGGACATGTCGGTCAAAGTCGTGGACATCCTACGAGAACCGTTCCATGGCTTCCACAACTGGAGGAATGGTTTTGAGGGGATTCAGTAGCCACAGGCCATGATCATAACCTCGAAATGACACGACAGTGAACCTCCTCTTGAAAACGTTTGCGTTGGCTGTCTCATCTAGATCATAGACTTCACAATCTCTTTGCCCTCTTAAGTACGCCTCTTGAACCTTGGATGGAGCAACAGTGTCATCCCCACTCAAAAAGAAGGCCACAGATATGCTCTCTGGAATGTCCTCAACGAAAAGGTTTGCCTCAACCCAACTGAAGTTGCGCTGAATAGACCAATTCACCATCATGTCTGTCTTCACCAGGGAAGCAACATCTGAAGTATCTGGTGGATTGTACACGGTTCTTTTGGTCAAGAGGCTGTCATAGAGACAAAAGCAAACTGGGTCAAGAAACACCAACCCAGCCACCAAATGAGGCGCATACTTTACAGTGTAGCTCATCCAGAATGTACCAAAACTGTGTCCAGCAAATGTTGCCTTTGAAAACCCATGGTTATGCAGCATGGTGGACATGTTAGCTGCCACCTCGTTAGAGGAAAGGCAGTCTTTGGGCATGACCCAGGGTCTAAAGGCAGTGACTGATGAAATCTCAGGAAGAAGCAAGGGTCTGCTGTTGTCTGACTTCAAAACCTGAAGCAACAGCGGCAGATAGGCAATTGGCCCTATTCCAATCCCATGAATGAAGACCAAGGGAGTAGTTTCATTGGTCTTCCCTGTACCCTGCCGATAATAATATGTCATTTGACCAACTCGATGCTTCCTGAAACCAAGAGACCACAGAATAAGAGGAGTACCAATTTCTGTGGTTAGCACAGCTGGAATATGCACATAGAGTGGAGCAATGTGAATGCCTACAGTCGGGGAACGAGGAACGCGAGTGGTGAGGTTGTAGCCAGCGTCATTATAAATGAACTAGGATGCTCCCCGCATGCACTTACCAAGCAGAGGATCCGCTGTGGGACGCCCAAAGGGCTGAAAGACCAGATTTACAGTACGTGCAACACTGGCTCGGAGTGTGTCCCTCGTATGCAAAACTCCAGCCTTGAGGGTGTCTCGAGTCTGCAAGACACTGGCTCTGAGGGTATCTCTTGTCCGCACAATGCTGCGCCTGAGTGTACCGCTTGTCCTCACCATGCTGGCTCTTAGAGTATCTCTTGATGGCATAGGGCTGAATCGAACTTTTCTTGGTCTTTTTTGTGGCTTTGGATGTTCTGCCGGCCTGCCTTTTGGCCCCGGTGTGAGACGAGGCTCAACCGAGAGATTGGCACTTTCAAGGTCTTGATCATGTTCCTCAGACAGCAGGTGACAAGAAATGGAAGCATCATCCGAAAGACCCGACGTAGACGACGTTGAACTTGATCTGCGTTTTTGCCGGTGGTTATGTTCCAAATGAGCTTTGTTAAATAGGACCACGCGCTTTTGTTTTCGACCAACACGAAATTCGCTCTCCTGGTTGTTGCTGATCCTTTGTTGTTCCACCAGTGGTTGACTGTTAGTCTTACTTGACGACGACGCTCTCCGCAGGGAGTAGTTTTGGTCAGCAATTGTCTTCATGGTCGCCTTGACTCTCAGCTCTCGATCTGCTCTGTCAAGGGCATCCACCAAAAATGTATCAAGCTGTTCCTCCTCTTCTTCTACGAGCTGATGGAACTTTCTCCCATCGAAAAAACACCAGACAATGAATCTCTGCAGGTCATCTGGTGAGAGTTCTTCGTAGCTTCTTCCAAAGAACCAGTCCTCAAAATATCCAACAACAGAAGAATTCGTGGACACGGCTTGCATCGTGCGTTCCCAAAGCTCTTGTCGCTTGGACAAGGATTGGACATTGGCTACCTTGAGAGACTCTTCTAGCGGATTCTTGGATTGCAAGAAGGAAAGCTTTGCTCTCATGGCATACTGGAACGCTCCTTCCAACAGCAAGGCTCCGCCAAAGAGTAGCGTGGCATTTCTTGCCGTTCTTGCATCGAAACCTCTCGCTCCAATGATGCTTGGGAAACCACTCGTCGTCAACACCATTCTCTGCTATCGTCGGTCGAGTCGAGTCGGCAGCAATCGAATGAGAAGAGAGGAGAAGAGAGAAGAAGAGAGGAGGAAAGAGGAATATGCGGCAGCACTGAATGAAGCTCGAACAATCCAAGTTGGGGTAAGGTGGCAGGGTGCTGGGTGGCAGGCAGCAGGTTGAAATAACAGGGATCCGAGCAACCGGTGAATGCGGTTACTAGCTACTCCGGAGTCGTAATAGTTAGATTGAGCTCGAGGGGGCGAAAGATAATGGGGCTTTCAATCCCAGAAATCCCTCTGAGGCGCTCGCTGCAGCTGCATGCGAAGTGGTCGCAACTTGCTACACTGTAGCTCTTGCTTCACCTCGGAGCTTTGAGAAGGCTACCGGTACTCGGTACCCATGTAGTCTCACCGAGACATGCAGGGAACGGCCCACTAAGGTCGAGCGTGCGCACTCGTACTCAGTACTGAGTACTACTGTATCTTTATGGGAAAACTGGATGGGGAACCAGGTATTAATACTATGCATAACCTGGAATGGAAGCAGACAAGGCCTCTACTAGGCACAGTTGTGCTGATTCACCACAGTAGACTAGCTAGGTTTGTGTGTGTTTGGGAGTTTGGAATAAAACCAAGGATATGAAGGTTACTTGGATTATTTGCTGGTTACTGGTACACTTTCAGTATGGGCTTAGATGAAATTCGCTGCAAAGAAGGTGGATGGCAACCTTCTACGGTACATGTAGCTTGCTGAGCGGTATCATAATACCGCCCCCCCAAGACCATTACAATACTCAGTACTCGGAGGAGAAAAAACCTAAACACAGTACTACACCGAATTGACAGGACCTTATTATCTCTTCGCTTTCCTTCGTCCGTGTTCTCACCGGTTGCAGCTTCCCAAACTAGTTCCAGCTTCGTTGGAATCAATCGAATCGAATCGAATGATTCAATCTTCAATCCTTCACGGGGTTGTGGTCGGCCATGGGTGGGACGTCATTAAACAAATCATCACAGCTTCACCGCAATCTGAAACTTTGCTTTACACCCACACTTCGCCAAGGCCGAAGGGTTACATTTGAGTGATCTACCTTTTCTCAAAGGTGCACCACCACAACAGTGTTACATTGTACTTTTTGCATTCTGCTAAAATACTTCTTTTTACATTCTATCTATTCTACTCCCTTATATGCATTTATCAACATCAATGCCAACACCTACTAATTGGTCCGATCTGTCAATGACTCCATGGCTGCAATCAGAGGTGGGATTTTGTATTGTGGATCGAGAAGCCACATACCATGATCACAGCCATCAAACACAGTGACAGAGAGATCATGAGTCTCCCAAGGTTTCTTCTGCTTGGCCTCCTCAAATTTTTGGACCTTGCAATCCCGGTGCTTTTGTAGGTAAGTCTGCTGAATCTTGGAGGGGGCAATCTTGTCTTCCCCACTCACAAAAACTGCTACAGGGATATCTTGTGGAATATCTTCCACAAACAGATTGCCCTCCATCAAGCACAAGTTGCGCTGGATGGACCAACAAACCATCATGTCTGTGTGAATCAGGTACCCAATATTGCCGGGGTCAGGTTCGTTGTAAACATTTCGATCTGCCAAGAGAGGGTCATAGAGACAAAAGTTAACAGGGTCTACAAACACCAATCCTGCCACCACAGAGGGGGCATACTTGACCAAGTAGGTCATCCAAAAGGTGCCAAAGCTGTGTCCAGAGAATGTGGCCTTGGCAAATCCATGATTGGCAAGCATCATGGAGAGTGAGGTGGCCACTTGTTGGGGTGACAAACAAGCACTGGGCATGACCCATGGTCGACAGACCGACACGGTAGGCAGTTCCGGTAGGAACACTGGACGGCCACTTGTCATCATTATCATTTGGAAAATGAGAACGACATAGGCAATGGGACCAACGCCAATGCCATGGATAAAGACCAGCGGTGTAGTTCTTTCCTGGTTGCCAGACCGGTAACAATATGTCATGGAGCCTGCTTGGTACTTTTGAAATCCTAGGATCCACAAGAGCATGCTACCAAGGACATGGGAAAAGAGGACGAACGTGACATGGACAAAGAGAGGGGCAATCCGAACACCCAGTATTGGGTCAACAGTTGGATGCTTGAAACGACGAGCACGGGTGTGGTCTTGAATAATACATGTAGGAGCAGCGGATTCCGAAGCAGCGTGAGAGTCCGTCACATTCCGCATCAGCTCCGCAAGCTGAGCCTCTGGGATTGGCTTTGATTGTTGGAGTCGTAGCTGACGCCACAGGAGCTCCTTGTGGATGGCTGCTCTGTTCTGGATGAGTTCTTGTTGGTCAGTGGACTCTAACTCGTCCTCGTCTGCTGGCCGCAAGGATGAAGCAGATGACAATGAGGATTCATCGGAAAGCGAATCGGTTGTAGAACAAGAAGTCTCCGACAGACTAATCTGGCTCTGAAGGACAGGTGTACTACTAGCAACCTCTCTTGATTCTTGTAGCTGGCTTTGTCTTGGATGGTTGGTTCGGAGGAGTGCATCCCGTACAAACGTATCTAGCTGCAGCATTTCTCGAGGACTGAGATGCTCCACTAGTCGTCCCTCAAAGCAACTCCAAGCCACAAAGTTCCGCAGATCCTTGATTGACAGATCTTCCATTTTGGTGCCAAAGAACCAGTCTTGAAAGAATTTGGATGGATTGTCTGATACGGCATTCATCGTTTGATTCCAATGCCTTTTCCTTTGAGTCAATGACATGATGCCACCGGCTTTGAGAGATTCCACAAGAGGATCTTTGGCTTGGAGATATGCCAGCTTGATGCGCATCGATACGTGAAACAGAACTTCCAGGACTAGATACACCACAAAGTAAGTTGGAACCGGGGGGTATTCCGAGGAGTCGCAAACGAGCTCCAGGCTCTCGTATCGTCCATGGTGGACGAGTTTCTGGAGCAGCAGACACGGCAATAGCAGCCATATCATCCATGGGATGATACAGTCAATCATAGTCATGCAAACTCCAATCAGAGACAAACGGCCTTGAGCGTCAGGATCCCGAGGAACCTGACAAGGACAGCCAGAAGCAAAGCAGCGGTAACTTGTGAGTCTCTCGAGAAACCTAGAGGACTCTCGCATCCAGCTTTTTAAAAAAGCAAGCCAACACCATCTGCCGTACCTTGGATTGGGCCAGATCTCGCAAATCTTGGTAGCATCGGGAGGTTGCCATGGTGGACATCAATTGTTGCCTTCACTCTACTAGAGATGAAAGTTGAGGCGACCAACATTGGTCGAAATTATGGGGTTCCTTGGTTTTTTTGGGCACTCCCCGCTCTTGCGAATAAATCATCGTGCGTGCAATCGACTGTAGCCAGGTCCCCCAAAGAGTTTTGCGAAAATTGCATGCTCGCCCTCATAGCCTTGACAGGTTCAGAAAGATGGTTGAGGTAAATATTATGTGAAACATAATACATTTTGTACCGCCGCTTCCTAGTTTCTACACAGGGTTGTTACGGTGGGTCCCGGTCCCGTCACCCATCAGTTTACGAAATAATTATCAGATCTTCCTATCGAGTACTGGTACGGTAGTCAAGTCAAGTCTATCTCTTATTCCAATGCCAAGATCCACTTTCTGCACATCTTTCTGGCTACTCTGTAGTATCACTCCTTTCTTGGACTCCTTCCATGCGGGTTCACCTAGCGGGACCTCTAGCTAGCTAGCTAGCAGTGTTTATCTCGTCAAACCCATAACACCAGTGCTGGTGGCGATGCATGGCTGGCTGTTAGATCGATCACTAAACCAGCCCGAGTTCATGAATCATTTGAATACCTGTTTGAATGCCTGATTTGGTACTCGAGTAGCTACAAGACTACCGTAGAACCTCACCGTGAGCATGTATGTGAACCGTGAGAAAGTTTGTGTCACGCAGGCATACTAATAGCTGCTTCTTTTGACTTGCTTAATTGACTGGTTCAAGCAAGCAAGAGCTGCAAGATTCTTGGGAGGGATTTGGACGAAAAATGATCTGCTTACCAAGATATTCAGGCAAGTCACTGAATGAGTGACGTTCACTGCTAAACGTTTCCCATGCACAAGATGTCAACTACCATACCGGTAGCCAGACCAGTGGAACCGGCTCTCTGCCATGGCGTCTTCCAAAACGACTGCGGGTACACGTGTAATAACTTTTGGATGTGACCGTTTGCTTATTGTGACCACCACCCTCACAAGTTCTTGTGTGACGTCCAAATGGTAAGCCACGCTCGAAGCGAAGCTGTAAGTACCAAATATATTCCCTTATGTAAGCGAGATGGCGAGTCCAAGATCCTGGGGACAAGTCGATTGTATTGCTGTCACATTTCTCACTGCAACCACCACTTTTCTTCACTGGGCATCACGCGAAGGCCACCAGAATCGAATCATCAGTCGAAGCAATGACCCTTTTACTGTAGTTAAGCGATGGACCTTATCCTCCTCCCCTTCCACCCCTATGTCATAAACTTGACAACGCTTAGCTCCTTCCCAACTACCGTACCGGTAGCTAGCTAGTGAATTGTCTATCTTCTCCACCATCACCAATCACCATCGAGGATCACACCATGATGTTTCAGCCAGAGCAGAACGCATCATCCTGCCGATGGTGTCTTTCGGCTGCCTCCAAGGTCTCCCTCCTCTTCTTCCTGGTGCTGTTGGTTTCTTGGGAGAACGTCATGATCTCTCACCGATTGGTTCGCATGGCCAGTCAAAGCGACCATGTGGCAGTCCAAGCAGAACAAGGACAAAGCAAGGTGCTACGACGACTGTCGGCCAAAAAGGAACACAAACAAGATCCTGATGATGCACCAACGGAGGATCCATATTCCAATCCAACCGTGACGACAAGTCCCTTTATGACATTTGTGATTCCATCCAGCTTGACTCGAGACACACTGGCTCGTACCCTCCAAAGCTTGCAGAATCAAACCAATGGGGACTGGGAAGCCGTCGTGGGAGTTGACATGATCGTATTGAACAAGAATGCAAAGACTGACAATATGGGCAGTTCTTTTCGTCCACAAGATTGGGACCAATTTGTTCGGGATAGATTCTTGAATTCCCTGCACTACACGACCAACACCACCGATGCCATCCTCCGGGATCCTCGCATTCGATTCGTCCCCATTCGCACGTCCTCCAAGGATCGTGGGAAGAAGCAGAATGGAGCCGGACAAGTGCGCAATCTCATGATTCGACAACATGTCAGCTTGGGATCCCAATGGGTCGCCTTTGTCGATGACGATGACACCCTGACACCCAACTACGTACAAGAGTTGAAACAGCAATCGTCGTCGTCTCAAGCAGAACCCATGGATGTGCTCGTATTTCGCATGGTCATCCTGGACAATAGCACTGCCATACATTCCAAGAAAAAAAGAATCATCCCCAAACCACACCAACACGTACTGATGAAGAATGATGTTGGCATTAGCTTTGCCCTACGACGCAGTCTTTTCTTGACGTCACTGCAACAGCAAGAATTGAACGTGGCGCATGGCAACCATTCCTCATTGGCCTTTCAAGCAGATTCAGCCGAGGATTTTATGTTGCTGCAATCGGCATGGGATGCGGGATATAACATTCATGTCTCGAGTTGCATTGGGTATTGCGTCAAGGGAGCACCGGGACAACTCCAACATGCCACCAAATTCACTCGAGAATACTATCAATCCTTCTTGCAAAACTGCAGCGCCTCCAAGGCCGTTGTGTCGGAGGAACTGTTTGTCCCGGAAGCTCTTCCATCATCAGTTGTCGTGGTCGACTATGCGTCGGGTTCCACCAATAGAGCAAGAAGAAGGGCCACCACGGTCGTGACTGTTGCCAAAAAGAAGTGATTGGCTTGGTCTTTAGGTGGCTGTGACTGACTATAGTACTTGGTCCTCTGCCTAGCTACCGGGAGTCGCTGATACGCGCAGCAGATGAGCTCTTTTAAAATACAGATACATATATGCAAAACTTACACAGAATAAGCCATAGCAGCAGCAAACATACACGTTGAACTGATCTTACAGTAGCTATCTATTTTATACATCAGTCGCTTTGTCCACAATGACTGCCAGACCATTTGGGCCTACCGGTCCAGTACCATTATTATTGTATGCGGCGCAGCAGAGTCAAGAGGAGAATATCGACCCAGAAAGGGCTCCTCGTCTTTTTGAATGCACGCTTGGTATTGACGAGACCACGCCGCTCGCACCGACACACGGCAAGACGGCCAGGTCGTTGCTTTTGTTCTTGCCTTTGGTCTTGCGTCTTCGTTTCTTGGCTGGTGGCTTGCTATCTTCCTCGCTGGACTATCACTGTCGGGTGCTCCCTTCTTTTTCTTCCGCTTCGTGTGGGTACGGGGGGATCTTCTTCTTTGCAGACTCAGAGCGGTGGGCGTCCTTGACGAACGCCTCCAAGTCAGCCAGAAATTCGAGGTCAAATCCTTCCTTGTCCTCATGCCACAATCACCTCTTCATTTTGGGACAAGCCTTGTCAGATCCAGCCCAAAAAGTAAGCTTTTGGGATCCCTGCAAATCTTCACCATTGTGTGGCCATCTTCATTTTGTATCTTGTGGGTCATAGTAAAACATCCATGAACCACCCATGGCCAAGTCTTTACCTTGTGCTTCATAGCTGCGTGGGGTTTCTTCTTGGGATCAAAATCATCAGTTCTCATAGGCCGCTCCAGCTCACCCAACTTGATTCGGACCTTTGACAGATTTAGGCTGACATCCAGCTTGCCGCACAGTTTTCTTCATTGAGAAAACTGACTCCTCCTCCCCGAATGAAGACCTTTTGCTATCGCGCTTCCTGCTTGCAGACTTAGACTTGAGGCGCCCCTTAGAAGTACCGCTATGGCGACAGGGTTTGGATTTGTTTGCCTACAGCGCTCTCACTTCTGCCAAGTCTAGATAGCCAGTAGCCATGACATCATGGACACATCCATCTCGTTTTGCCTTGGGCCAGTGAGCACATGCATTGGCGGCCGCCTCTTTGGAGACAGTCTGACCAGCCAATCGTCGTTCGGCTTGGGTTCACTCTGGCATGACACACGCTTGTGGGTACTGAGGACCTTCGATCGCGGAGAAGAGCTGTTCCTCAGTGTCTCGCTCGCACTTGCCATTCTTTGGCAATGGCAATATGGGAATGGGGTCTTGGAGAAGAGACGAAGGGTCCCGTGTCGAACTCTCCCATCATCCCGCCGTTGCCATGGAAGGGTTCCTTCTTGGCATTCTCAATCTTGACCGAGACCATATCCTAGGCCTTGAAGCTGCCCACAACGATAGCTGTTGGATGTACCGGTATGCATATACCTGTATGTGAATAAACTTGAGCGCTGAACCGCGCCAAAGATTTTGTACTGTACGTGGTGGTACTTGGCAGCGGTATTTTAAATACCGGTAGGCACAAAGTATGTACCTCTCCTACCATTTTAGCAAAAAGTGACTGAACTATTTATTTAAGTCTTCAAATGTGTATCAATCAAAATGTGAGACGGCAGCCAAGACAAATCATTTAATACCGCAGCCCCTTGCATTGCTTGGACCGCACAGGCCTTCTATTAAGCCAGCAGTAGCTATTATGCATACTCAGCAGCTACCGGTACCGGTAGACGGATAAAACTATGTAAAATGGTGGGTGAACTCGTGACGCACTCCTTCAGAGCTGCCTCCTCCCCACTCAGACCTGAAACGCGGGCAGCTACGACTGTACACTCTTCAAGAGCGACAGAGAGCGAGAGCGAGAGTAGATCTAGTGCTAGTACTACTCGGAGCACTCAGACTGTAGCGGATGTATACATGTATAGTAGAGATCGTTCCCGAGTCCTCAGTCTCTCTGGGAATGGATCAACTGGTGGCTAAATGGGATTGATTCGAGCCATACAGAGCTACGCGATACGCGATACATGAAGATGATTGTAGCAGCTTTGGAACAGAGTAATTTTGCAAATAGCAATAATCATTATGCAAGCTTAGTATCACAATTCTGGAAACCACGAAGTCAAAAGGACTCAAGCAATCATCATGGGCCAGGGCTTGAGTGGCCTTCTGGCAAAAGCCGAGGTCAAAGTCCTGGAATGCCTAGAAAAAATTGACCTGAACGTCCTGGGTAAGCTCGAAAGATTCGTCGGTGTGGAAAGCGGAGCCGTCAATGCAGTCGGTATGCAAAGCGAAGCCGTGAAGATGCATGCGACTGCGAATGCCTCTGTTAAAGTGCTGGAGAAATGCAAGAGGATGGGCATTATCGAGAACGGCGCTATCAAAGGCATTGACAGAGGCGCCTTCGATATTGATATGTTCAACACTCTCGAAAAAATTGTTGGGCTTGATGCTAGCGCTCTTGAACGTATTGTGGGAATGGATTTGAGAAGCCTGCAGAAACTTATGGATTGCAGGAATAATCAAGTGTATGGTGCTCGTCTTCTCGAGAGGGTGACGCAGTTTCTACCAAGTCTGAAGAAAGTTTTTACCAGCACGTCAGTCACAGTTAGCTTCGGGAGTGGTGGAATCTTCGTGCTTCATTCCTTTGTCCAAAACATGGAAAGTGAGGACAAGGCCAACATCTTCGGCCATGCTGTCTATGGGTCCTTGCTCTTGCTTGTTGCCTTCTCGATAGTTGTGGCAATCGCTTGCACAATAATCTTCGTACCCAACAAATCCCTCCCAGCCGCGCCAGCCAAATCCGTCCCAGTCACGAAAACCTCGCCAGAAAATGCAACCTCTCTCCCGGTGGGACAACCACTCAACATCCCAAATGCGAGTACCTGTCCGGCTGCTGGTAGAACCCACATTGTCCAGCAAGGCGAGACCTTGTACTCGATTGCTGAGCAATACTATGGTGCCGGGAACCTGTACACATTGATTCAGGAAGCCAACGGGCTATCGCCAGAAAATGTAACCTCTC